ATTTTCTGTGTCTCTTCTCTTTATCTTCTTAAAGTACAGATGAGTTCATAGAATGCATGTGAAATGCCTCAGACCTGGTAAGTGTTAGATGTGTTTTACCTCCTGCTGTGAACGCAAGGAAGCAATCATCTGGTACCTAAATGATACATTGGAAAATATAGTGCATTCAGTGGGAAAAAACCACACTAAGCATGTGAAGGAAAGATCTTTGGGGTAGCTGGGGTAGCTGGCCAGAGAAGTATTAATCTCAAGCAGATGTTCTTTATGCATTGGTGCAAGTACTGTCCAAAAATCTATTTGCATTACCTGGGACATACATGCACTTAATTGATGTGACATTCTCTTTGTGCCGGTAACATTTTATTATTATGAAATGGTTTTTTTGCTGCATATGTTTATACCTTGCAAACTTGTTTGACTACTTAAGTTAACAGAGAAGATAGAAGTAATGTCATCTCATCTGGGCATGTCTATAGTCTCTCTTAGATGCCCAATTGAATAATGGAATTAGAAGAACACAATACCAACAGAACCACCAGCAGAAAATAACTGGCTTCACAGTTGAGAAAGATGGTCTCATTTGAGGTTACTGAAGTCTCTGACAAAGGTCAGGCAGTATAAGAGCCCTGTTCCTGCTAGAAGAGAGCACATTATTTACACCACATCACTGCTTACAGAGTGATCTTTACCTTTTTTTGCAGGGGTTTGTATTTCATTCTAAAGCAATTGGCATTGGTACTTAGGTACAGTCATAACTACTGTGTACACATAAGATAATTAAAACCTCTCTAAGGAGGGGAATATCAGCAGCAGCACTACTTGGAAATTACTTCCAGTCTGGAATTTTACCTTTGAAATTAGTGGCTTTTAATGCAGATGTAGATGAAAGATCTAGGCCCTTTAGTTTCTTCAATAGTAAGGCTTTGCCTGTAAATGAAGATTAAAACAGGGATGTTTAGGGAAGGAAAACCTAAAGAGGCCCTTTGGCACCTACAACAGGGTCCATGGAAGACGGTCCATGGAAGAGGCTTATCAATCCTTAAAGTCATTCTGATGAGTCTCTAGCAGAGGCACTACAACAGCAAGTCCATCACCACTTAGTTAAGTACCATGTTCAGACTTCAGGAATTGTTATAAATGTACTGATTTCAGTAACAAAAATCCTTCTTCTTACTCAGCTTCTTGAGTTACCTATTTATAACATTAGTTACATGATTGAAGCCAGCTGAAGAAATTCCTGACTTGGTGAAAGCCACATTATGTCTGCTTTGCCAAAAGTTCTCTTTTATTGCCTTTTTAAATCCAGCAATGTGTCTTTGCCCATTATGAGATTGTAAGTTAATTTCAAATACCCAAGTTGCTTCCGAGTGTACAAACAATTTTTCCTATGATTATTAAAAAGCAGAAAAGCAGAGAGCATTCAGATTGTTTTCAATGGTCTGTACATGTATTACCTCAGAGCTGATACCCATGGTGTGCTAGTACTGGAATATGGGCTCAGATCAGAGCTCCTGTTGTGTGAGACAGTTTTTGGATGGTGGAATCTCACTTGGAGATCAAGACTTGGCTGATGTAGAATGCAGCATTTGGAAATCCTTCCTCTACAGTTCAGTGCCTTGAGCATTGTCCTTAAAATGTCATTCAGGTTTGAGTCTTCTCAAAACCAGTGGATCTTTAAATATTTCCTGAGTAAAAAAAAAACAAAAAAAAAAAAACCTTGATCCGAGGGACTGAGAACAACTTAAAGTAGCAAATAACACAGTGATTGTATGTTTTCTTGAGTGAGGAAAACAGCACAGGAAGTGCCAGAACTGAACTCTCACTGTCTAAAGGCATATTTGTATTTACTGTTAGATATTTACTGTTGCTAGATATTTACTGCTGTTAGATATTTATCTATTATTAATTACCTATTATTAGTAGACATTTAGAATAGAGACTCAACAAGGTAAAGACCTTGTCAAGCCTCTGTGGGGGGGAAATGATGCCTTAAGTTTTAGCTTTCATATTTTTCAGATTCTGTACTGCCTTAGTGTGTGACTCTGAACTTCATATAAAGTGTTAGCAAGTTCTTTTCACAACTTAGACAAAACAATCCTTTTCCAGCCTGAGAATCAAGGACATAGTAACAGCTTCGGGCACAAAAAGTCTAAACAACGGCGAATTGAGGAGAGCAATCTGGGAGGATGAGACTTCATAACCTGAAGCTGTAATTGGATAATTAACCCCAATATGTAAATAGACCAAAACTTATAAAAGTGTGAAAACTCGTGACCTGTCATCCATCTTGGATCCATCTTGGGTCCATCTTGGGTGAAGCCATGGCCGTGCACCTGTACTGCCTAAGGTGTAGGCACCTTCTAATAAATACCTACTTTATTCCTTCTTAACTCTGTCCAGCCTCTGCTCCAGATCAGACTCTCTAGGCATCACACTGATATGTTCTTTCCTTTGAACGACACAGCTGAAGTGAACCACATGGCCATTTTAACATGGCCTATTGTAAATTAACTCTGCAAAGTACTGTGAAATTAAAACGGTGATGCTGACTTTAGTTTTTGCTGTTATTTCTTTATTCAGGATTCTAGATTCTTTCCAGTCAGTTGCATGAGGTAGAAACTGAATAGACTTTTCACCTGGATGCATTTGTATGATTTGAAATTTCTGGCTAAGATATACAGGTGCCACCATGGAATTCAAAATCTTGGTGTTGCAGTACTTGTTTTAGAAGTACTTTGGTCCTTTTGGTCGACATTAGGAGCATTAATAAGTATATAAAGTAAAAGCTTGTGTCTGTATAGCAAAATCTCCCTCCTCCAAGCTTAGGTGAGTGTAATTGCTGTCAGCAAGCTCTTTGGGTTTGAACTTTGGTGTCTTCTCCAACTCTGAAGAAGCGTGTAAAAAAATCTGAATTTTGTTTCTCTTGATTTCATTCTTTGAAGCTTCGGTATTGGTAAAATATAGAGTTGTATTTGAATGCAAAATGAAAAGAACAACAATGGAACTATAGAAAATCTGATTCACTGGCTTTCTGTAAATAAGAAGCTTTCAGTGGAGATGTTCCAACCTCAACTAGCATGTGAAGGAGAAGTGTGACAGCTCTTGAAACACTGTCTTTCATCTACAACATAGCTGTCACAATTAGTTCTCTCACCAGTTCCTTGATCCCCCTCAGAAAGACAGCATTCATCTTATTAAATGCTGAAGTAGGTTTTTATGTGTGGAAAGACAACACAGGATACATTTTTAATGTCCTGAATATTCAAAATAAGTTATTACTCATTATCATGCTGTGCTGTCATATCAGATTTAACATGTTCAGATGAAAAAGTAATACATTAGTCACCTCTCATACTACAAATACCTATTATTTCTAGTCAGTAAATGATAAACACTGAACCATATTCTGCAAGCTCCACTTAGAATACACACTGTGATACTCTCTAATGCTACTGAGATCTGACATTTTATCTTACTTGCATGCTTTCAACAACTTATTCTTTGTTTTATTTCATTCTCCATTTTATTCAGAAAATTGCAAAGGAGACATAACATTTACAACAAAAAATGTGTGACGGAATCAGCAAAATAAACCTGCCTAAGTCTGCTTTTAAGAGTGGTTTTAATGATTATCCCCACCCCTCCAGTACTGCTTCCAGGGATTCCCCAGATTTTCAGCAGTACCGAACTGCTGCAGTAGTACTACATATAGGCTGGATCTGGACTGCTCAAAAGTGAAATGAAGTTCAGCAAATCTGTTATTCACACAGAGAATTATTATTCAACAGTGTATTTTTTCATGTTTTCCAAGGAATATCTACTCAATGGCTTAAAAAGTTTTAGGGTTTTGTCACAAGTTTTCCTTTCAAGACTGTCACTGGCTTAACAAATAAGGTGGGAAGGGCCGATGTGCCAAATAAACAGAGCTCTTCCCCCTCGAGAACTCAGAGCTGTGCATTAAACAGACTGGTAAGAAATACATCACTCTGTTGTGCTTCTGTTTGACAAGAGGAAATAACTACCTAGAACTTCATTTTAAAAGTTGCACTCTTAACATAACTCACATTGTTCTTCTGGCTAGACCATCAGTGTCTTGTAATTTTAGGAAGAGCAATGGAAATAATAGAATCTCTTTATTGATTAATCACATTGTCTGGATGATATATTGTTTCCTGAAATTTATGTTGTTTTCCAGGCCTTTTCTAAGTGATAAAGTTGCTCTTCCTTTTCCCTTAATGATAACAGGAAAATATTTTTGTGAAGAAGTAGAAAATCAGTCCAATAAGTTCCTCCTTGCTAAAATATATTAGCAAGCTCAGGTGATATTGTTCAAAAATCTTCTAAGCAAAGAAAAATTGGAATTATTGCAAGGCATTTTAGTACAGCAGTTATATAAGCCTGTACCTGTTTTCCAAGCACTTTGAAAACAAAGGGAGTTCTCAGCAATACATGCTGTTCTCAGCATGGGCATTGCTAAGCAGTCTCAGCAATTCTATACTGTAATTTTTTTCAATTATTACTTTCAAATACGAAGAAAGTTCAAATTTAACAATTGGAAGCATTGATCTTAAAGTAGAAAAGTTTGAAAAGTCACCATCATTTGATGCCGACAGTCTTGTATTTAGATACTGGAGTTCAGCAGTGATTTTTCTGCGCGAAAGTTAATTTTATCCTCAGAACTAAGATAACAGAAATTGTTCATATGAGTAGAGAAAACTCATTTTACATTGTGTAGCACTACTAAAACACAAAAGCACCTTTTTTGCAACATTGTTTTACATTTTTAACTGAGCCATGGTTTTTAAGGATTTGAAATTCAAAGTAAAGGCTGCTAGAGCTTGTTGGGTCCAGTGGAGGTCAGGAGCTGGGAAGTGCTCCTTCCTGACCCACTGAAGCAAAATTTGATGGAATTCAAAACCCAAGGAGGGGATCCTCCTGTCCCATTGCCTTTGAAGTCTGAGGTGCAACATGCAGTGAGGTTGGACATGTGTTCCCAATAGGAAAACAGGCATATACCATACACAGAGGCCCAATCACAGAGATCCATGGACAGAGCAGCTCTCTTACAGCCCCCACGTAACAAAACACAGCACTCAGGTAAACATGATCTACACTGATGGGCTAGTTCCTTCTTTCTGGAGGACCAAAACTGATGGAATATACACTTCCTGGCTGTCATCATCCACAGGCACACTTTCACTCGTGGGTCTGGCATATGGAATTTTAGTCAGTACAATATCCATACCCAGGCTCTGCCCCCCTTACAAAGTGACTAGCTCAATCCTTGCGTCTTTCCAAATGTAGATCTCCTACTTGCCAACCAGTTCTGTTTGAATTTTCTTTATGGTTACACACACACACTCCCCCACACACCCTGTGGGTCTCCTCAGGGACTGGTGTGAGACAGTTCAGCTCCTGACACCCTCAGCTGCTCACCTACGTGATCTGTCTCCAGTGCCTGGCACCCATCCTGTGCCCCTTGCCATCTAGTCCAGCATGAAGTTTGCTGCCATTCACACACATGCAGGCTCAGAATAAGGACTGCACTTACACAGAGGATGGTTAGAGATAGAATTTAATAACAATATGCAATGGACTCATTTAGAAAAGTGTTCACCTGCATCCATTTCCTTTCATCCCTTCTCGCCACCATCTACCTATATTTGTACATCTCTGATCCACATTTATGCCTTCCTTTCCTCTCATGTCCCATCCCATAAATGCCATGTAAGTTTTCCACATACCCACAATACCCTTAAGATATACCATCATGTTTTATACAATTTCAAGTTTCTGCAAACTAGCAAAATTAACTGTGCTATGCTAGCCTGTGAGCCTTTTAGGCAGGAATCACCCTGAAATGGCAGGGCATCCTGGAAAGGAAGATTTTTCATTGAAGCTTCTTGGTAGGTTTCCCATCAGAAATCATGACTGCAGCAACCTCTTTCAGTCATCTTAGAAGCAGCAAATTCAGTGACTTCTGTTGATGATGTTACTCATCAACTGTCACTGCCCTTTTGATCATCACCATTTGTGTTTGATTTGATCAGCCTCTCATCAGGTAGCATAAACCCTGTAAAATTCATAACACATTATATCTTGTTTAGACCATACAATTTACTCTTATTTTCTTGGAATTTCTAATCCTAAATGCTTTCTGTGAACAGTATGTAATGTAATTTAATTCAGAAAGAACACAGAGTACATATTTATATATATATATATATATATATATATATATATATATATATAAAACTTCTTAGCTATTTTATATTCCTAGTACTTTCTCAGTGTACTTGTCTAGTTTTCTGTGTCTAATGCAATTTAAACTTATCCAGCTGCTTTTAAATTTCCAAGAAAATCACAGAACAATGTAGGTTAAGTTGTAGTAAAGCTCCAGGTGAGCTATAATAAAGGTAAAGAGTAATTAGGACACGATTTCATGACTGTTTTAATTTACCATAAATCCGTGCTGCCTGACTAATTAGGTTTTAGGCAGACTAGACAGATAACTGAATGATTCATTTTCACACAGATGCCTTCCCTGCATCCATTGGAACACTTCCCTCCTGTAGCAACAGCAGCAATCAATGTTTTGTGCTTTTTACTATATTGAAGTGGGAGGGTTGACAAAACTTTTGTGAAATCTATGTGTGGTTTCAAATTATCTTGAAATTTGCTGTGTGCTTAGGGCTGAAGAACAACATTGGGGAGTTCAAACAGGCTTTTGAGCAGGAATTTTTTGATCAAAAATGCAGGTCCTTTGAGTTTATGTTTTTGGGTAGGTTTTTAATAAGGGAGAGGAGTAATGTTTATATAAAAGCTGCCTGTTTTTTTCCCCTTTTTTTGTCCATCCTTAAGATTCTAGTGATTGTTTTGACCTTCCTGGAACTGAATTCAGAATCTGTCCAATTCAGTATGCAAAACTCCTGTCATAAAAGGAAACCATATGTGAAAAAAGCCCTGCATATACAGTAGATTTGTCCACATAATGTATAATTAGGACCAAAATACTTACATGCAGTATGATAAAGAGTATCATGCAAAATGCATCCCACATGTAGGGTAGTGGTGTCATTTAGCATGATGTGCCATAACTATTGAACCTGAACAAATAGATCAGTGCTTTAAATTAAGTCCTGTGTTTGGTAGTTTTTCGTGCTTGAGTTCCCATTTTTGAGACTTCCTGAGCCTGTATCTTTGCTGATGGCTGGGGCAAGGGTGAAAACAATATGCAAAGCCATCTCGGATAATATTAAGTAAATAGAAAACACACATTGAAAAAAACAATTACTTTTGTGGGATTGTCGTGTTCCTTAAATTTTCTTTGCCTTTTTTACAGGGGTTTCCATAAAACTGAATCTGACATTTGGAAAGGGCACAAGATGCTTCTAGGCAACCTTATCTCCTCATTGCTAAAGTTTTGGGGAAATTAATGTTTATTGGATGTGTCACAAATCGTTGTTTATTCTCTGTGAGCCTCTTGTGCCTCTAGGCACTGTGCATGTATGAATGGAGACTTTGCAACCATCTTCTTAGAAGCAGATTAAATGAGTCAGAGTTTTTTATTGTTAATTTTTACCACAGTATATGAAAATTTTTCTATTCACTTTTTGTGTCAAATTTTGCATTCTGTTTTTTTATGAAATGCTTATTTGCCTTCTAGATAGTTTTAGGGAAGGTTGATTTGCTCTGCTGAGTTACTTTCCATTTAAAATTAATTATCAAATAAGACTCCAAAAAGATGAAAGAAAAGCCTGGAAGCTCTCCTGTTTTGTGGTCTGCCAGGGATACATCTAGCCTTTATTCTGTGTCAAAGACTTTGCAGAGTCATTATTTACATTTTGAAGTTTCCAGAGGCTGCTAAACATGACTGTTTCAATTCAGTCAAGGCAGGTCAGTTCATTTTCAAAGTTTTCGATGATGTTAAAGGTAATGACACTGCTGTCGGCTCTGTATTTTGCTATTATTGGTAATATGAATTGAATATTTAGTAAGGTATTTGCAAATTGTAATTATTTAATGGAAGTGATATTATGGCAGAGATTTTAAATACATTTTTCTTTATGTTCATGTTTAATCATGATCTGTCATTCTCGTGAGACTGTAATAGTTAAATAGTTCTGTACAATGTTGTAAGATTATTATTGCCCTCAGTTTTGAGATATCTTAATTCTACCCTTGTTTATACCAATTAAATATACTAAATTTTTTTTTCTCTTTTCCAAACTGTTTGCCCTTAGCAATGTAGCAAGAAAGCATCAGCTTCATTGTTATGGATCCTGAAATCATCTGGAATAATTGCAAACCGTCCTTGGCCAAGGATCACTCTTACATTGACAACCACTGCTATAATATTAACCATGGCTGTATTCAACATGGTAAGGGAAAAAGGCATATTTTTTCCTGGTTTTTTGTCCATTTAAGATTTGTTGTTGTTGTTATTCATTATTTGTTTAGATATTAAATTTATGTCCTGTTGCTATGCCAGGAACCTGCGTGATAATTTCCAGAGACAGAAATGTAAAGTAGAGAAAAAGAAAACATACTGTGTAATCAAGACTGCTGCAAACAGGATGCTCAACATGAGCTCAGACCCTGGCTAAATTTGTTAAAGAAAAATATTATTTATAATGAACAGAAAACAATTAAATCTCAGGTTTGAATTGCACAAGTCCCTTAGTCATGTGTGCATCGCTTAGAAAAGCAGCATTGCTGAAAGAATGAAGTATCTCCTCATGGGATTTGTGGAAGACTTTATTCAGTTTTGTGATGCTCCTCTGCTGACCCCAAAATCATCATAATGTATACATTATTGGTTTCACATGCTTGTCTTTTTTTTTTTAATAAGAAAAAAATTCAAACATTTTCAAAACTTCAAAAGTACTGACCTACAAATTCATTAAGGCTTACGTTTACTTAAGTGATTTCAACCTGTGCTTTTCTCTCCTAACAGAGAAAATCCATGTAATTTTATTATTCCTTTCCAACTATAGAGTAAATTATAGAGTACATCTGTAAGCAATTATAGAGTAAATGTGTCATTAGTTTGCCTAAAGCATGAATCTTAATGATATCATTTAGTCTGAAGGGTCTGTTGTCTAATGGGATGAGCAGTACATGAGATCAAAAGTCTTCCTTTGTTTTGTCCCGTTGGCTAAGGCGGATTCTGTTTGCAAACCTGTGAAAAGATTCCAGTTCAGTTCTGCTTCTGCAAAGTGGGAACTCTAACCTTTATTTAGGCAATGTTTTCATCACTACATCAATGCATAAATATTCATGTTTCGAGTGAGTGAAGTTCACATTTCAGTGCTTTTGAAATCTCAACCCTAATGCTTGCTTGAATTGCTGGTACTTTTGTTACTTAGGATTTATAAAGGACTTAGAGACTGATAATACCTACACTGTTTTATTTTGTTTTCCCACATTTCAGGGGATCCTTAATCAATCATTTGTTACACTAAGTACTAAACTTGTCCAAATGATGTAATGTGGGCTTTTAAATGTGAACACTTGAAATCACTGGTAGAGTGTTCTCTCCATTTTACTGTTAAATTTTTCTAGTCTTGTTAATGTTGGTTTTCTGTTCTTTCTTTTTCCTACTTTTTTTGAAGGAGAGGAAAGAAACACAAAACCAATTCCATTACCAAAATCTAAAATTCACCTAAGTGAATTTAGTGTGTAAGGCTGGGAGAGGAAAAACTCAAAGAAGTAGTGGCTGAAAATAATATAAAACTGAATATAAATTGACTTTTCATCAGTGAAAGCAGTTAGCAATGGAAACAATTATTCTGAAAAGCTGTTGATTCTCCACTAGCTGAAAACTCTTTTTGAATTATAACCTTTAGCCATGCAAAAGTTATGCAACAGCAAAAACCTCAGAGATTTAGTAACTTGTACAATGAAGATCAGGCTAGATTTTCTCTTATTTTAAACTCTGTAAATATATCAGAAGAAAGAACCAGCTTGGGTTTAAATTATTCTTTGAGTTAGACTTCATGCATATGGTTATTTATTAAGTTAAAAAATGTAAAAGGAGATATGGTCAGCAACTGTTTTTCACTTAGACTAAAGTTCTACTAGTGTTTACAGCCCACTTCAAACTTGGCCTTCAAGTAGTAAAAGACATTTTAGCAAAAAAAAAGGAGTTGTTCTGTACCTAAGTTTTAGAAAAAGATTTTAATTTTATTGGCTCATGTCCAGTTTAATGTGGACTGAATGTTATAGTAATACCTAATGGGCTGTATTTTAAAGTCTTAGTGCCTTATAAGCAATGTTACAGAGTAACATAATAATCATGTTCCATGATATTCATGAGATGATAATTTTAAGTACAATTTCCTCCTTGAAATTAAACCTTAATAGTTTGACTAGCAAAAATGACTTTAAATATGATTGTGAATTTTGCATTAGCAAATAGTGGGAGAGACTCTGAAGTATCATTATTATATCTCCAAGCAACATGTACTTAATAGCAGAGTCCGTTAACTGCATTTACTTCCATGAACCATTTCAGTAGCAGAAGGCAAAATGTAGCCATTAACATTTAATGGAGATAAAGAGTGTCTAACCATGCCACACCTAATAAATCATCATTAAGACCAAAATGCCAAATAAAAACTCAGTCTTCATGGTCAAGGGAGACTGAAGAAGAGTGGGGGTGCAATTTTATTTGAAATTAGCTGCTTGAGCTGACATCTAAATCTCTTGTTCAGGACATATGTGGTCCTGATCAGCAAAGGGAAGTTAAAAATCAGCTAATGTCACATAAGTATCAAATAGTTCTGAGCTGAAGGGAGAGGGTAAGCATTAGATCTGGTGCTGGATAGACAGTAGGACATCTATCAGTTCCTGAGGAAAGCTGTTTTTGTCAAGCTGACCTGCTTTAAACTGATCAGGAGAAAGTATCCTTCATGGAGCAATACAGAGGGGGCCCAGAGAGACTGTGAAGGGTTAATACTTGAAAACTGAATGAATGACTGCATGCAGTACATCACATGATTGTGCCTTATCATCCCCTGGGATTCATTAGATCTCAAGAATACTGCATGATAAAAGAGCCCTGAAACAGCTCTTGGTTTCAGTGACTTCTGCATCAAATGCGTAAATGGTACTACCAGCTTTAAGATTCAGGATCATAGAATAGTTTGAGTTGAAAAGAATCTTAAAAAGTCATGTTTTTCACCCCTTTCACCACTCCCCCCCGCCCCCCCCGACCCCAGCATGGGCAAGGACATATTTAACTGAATCAGATTACTCAGAGTCCTGTCTAACCTGACTTCAAGTGTTTCCAGGAATAGGACATCCACCACCTCCCTGGGAAACCTGTTCCAGTGCCTCATCACCCCCATCATATGCTTCCTTATATCTAGTCTGAATCTACCCTGTTTTAGTTTAAAACCGTTATCCCTTGTCCTGTTGCAACGGCCCCTGCTACAAAGTTTGTCCCAATCTTTCTTTGGCCCTTCAGGTACTGGAAGGTGCTCTAAAGTCTCCCTGGAGACTTCTCCAGGCTGAGCAACCCCAGCTCTCTCAGCCTGTCTTCATACAAGAGATGCTCCAGCCCTCTGATAATCTTTGTGGCCCCTCTCTAGATATACTTGCTTTCCTGTCTTTTCATCCAGTGAATTTTAGCAAATGGATTGTTTCCTCTTAAAGAATACATTTAGGAATGTGACTACTGAGAGAGGTTTGAGTATTTTTGCTCCATTGGTTTTTGTACATCTCTGAAGCCAAGCTGCCTTAAATTATACAAGTATTGGCCTCCTCTAAGTCATGAATGATCCTATGTTCAAATAATGACAAATAATTAATCAAACCTGCTTTCATTCTCATAGTGGAAAGTTGGTTTCTTTAACAGGTCTTCCTTTTAGTGTAGCTGACTCTGTTGGTGAACTTGTATTTTTAATTGTTTAACTCTTTGGCAGATACACTCTAATTATACATCCCACAGTGCCTGGCACATTGGTGCCTGTTCTGGAGGGTGCCTAATGTATTTCTTTTGAGAAGAATAAACAGACACTGTCTAGAGGTTGACCTGGTCAGGGAGTTGGAAGGAGAAAGCACAGCTGAAAGAAATGTCATTTAAGTGGTACTTGCAGGGCCCAGCCACAAATCTATTCCAGGATTTAAGGAACTTTTAAAAATCAGTATCAATCAAGGTCCACTAGATTAGCAGAGATGCACTAGCAGGTGAGACAGTGCTCTGAAATCATGTTTACAGCAGTTCTGGCTTCTTTCAAGGGTGTAGGAAGAGACAGTCATGCTGTCACTGCCTTTATAAGTGAGCATCTTTCCATATCTGTCAAATACAAAAATCATGCTGTCTGAGTCTGTAAAGGGCCAGCAGGCTCCTCATCTTTCCTGTTGGTGGGAGCTTTGAACAAGGCAGTGACTTGCCACTACATATTGCCTCTGAATACATGGTGGTACAAAGATAGTTACTCATTTTCACTTTGTGGCGCACAAACTTTCATGACAAAAAGAAATTATTGAGCGAATTTAATTTGGTCCATTTATGCCACAAGACACCAAATAACACAGGTACACAAGCACTTTGATGTTAAGCCTTGTACAAACTGCAAAATGCAGTTTGCAAAATGCTCTAAAATTTCTGCTAAATGCATTTCAGTTCTCTCTGGATTTTCATTATGCTTTTATAACTTACCAGTATCTCAGCATCACCTTTTTTTGGTAAAAAAATGCATAATAGTCTTGGTAAGAACTTAGCACTCCAGGCTGTCCTTAAACCTCTCCTTTTGAGCTTGAGAAGAGGGGGAGTGATACCGGAATTTGTGATTCTTCACACTATTCTTGGGCCATTCTTGTGAGGATCTGGGAATAAAAATCCTGGCTCAACTACCATTTTTCAAAGGAAACTGTGATATGCATTGTACACCCAAGTACTTTCATACCTCAGTGAGAAAGATGGCTTCTTTTCTGATGAGATGTAAACTAATGTATTATTTTGCTGTTTTCAGACAACAAGAGACATGCACTAATTTATCCCATGTTTTGGGGGGAGGGTCTGTTACCACATGGCTCCCACTGAAAGCAGGTATTTTCATTATGTGAGGCAGAAAACTCACAACTGAGGATTGCAGATCATGTGAACGCAAGAAAAGAAAGAACTGTCAGAATATATGAAGTTAAAATAAGAATGTAATGGTAGCATGCTCAGACATTCCCTGGCAAACATTGGTATTCATAAAAAATACTGCTTTCATTTGAGTCATTTGAGTAGGTGTGACTGCTTAGTAGGACTGAACCTACTCTTACAAAAAATACTATGTTGAAGAACAATATGTATCTTCAGAGCACGATAGCAGATGTAGATAACTGAGGAGAGACAAGAAAGACAAGTGCAAACACATCATTCAGAAATAAGTGTTGTTTGGCTCATGGCAGGTGACAACACTTCCATATCCTTTTTTTTCTCCTTATTATACTTATTAACATATGCATAGATATACCATTTTTCATATAGTGTTCTGTGTATGCAGGTAACATTTATAGGTCAGAAATGCTTTGTGCAAGGTTCAAAACCCAAATTAAAATGCTTTAATATAAATTAACATATATAAATATGCATACCATATGTGCTTCTATAATAGAATTGTGTTTGAGTTCTTCATGTTATATAATCTTTGCTCTGGGGACATGCAGAAAGTGGGATTCTGAAACTAAATATTTCATGTTTTCAGAAAAAGTATATGCACTGTTAGTGGGATGTGGTTCTTTTGGCAAATGCCCTTGTTAACAGAAGTTATTAAATAGCTGGAGGCAGGGAGGGAGAGTAAATCCTCAAAGCTGTCTGAAGGGTTTTTGTCCAAAGTTGTTCCTGTTAAAAGAGGCAGGCGAGCATCAGCTGGCTTAAAAAGTAACCAAGAAACTTCAGAAAATCCTTAAGTAAAGAAGGAAGTAGTGTGAAAAGAAGTATAAAAGAAACAGAATCACAGAATGGGTCAGGTTGGGAAGGACCACAGTGGTCATCTGGTCCAGCCTCCCTGCTCAAGCAGGATCATCCTAGAACACATGACATAGGATTGTGTCCAGGCAGTTCTTGAACATCTCCAGTGAGGAAGACTCCACAGCCTCCCTGGGCAATGTGGAAATGTGTAACAGGAGGCAGAGAGCTATGAATGGAAACAGACGACTGTCAAAAAACTATTTTGACACTGTCATAAGTCACCTCTCTGGCATTACGCCTCTGCTTCAGCTGGCAAGAGCGGCCTGCCTGTTGGATACTGTGAGCTGCCTGCAGGGACCACTGCTCAGGCTGGTCCCTGCACACAAACCTGCAAGGCTCTCTCTCCAGCATATGCCTTGACAGCTTGCAGGGAGCTGCACAGGTGCACCTAGAGTACCTGCATCTCCTTTCAGCAGTGTGTGCCAGTAGGGGAACCTGCATTCCCAGAAGTGGGAGTATGTGCATTTCACCCACACATCCTGTGGGAAGAGGCAGATGTGCATGTAACTCTCTTCATGTACATGTCATTAGACCTCTTTGGGATCAGTTATAGAAGGATGTTTCAAAATCTGTATGTTTCAAAATGTTTATTAACATTTTGTAGGGTCTGTTTTCATGGTTTATCTATTATATTTCTGATACTGATCCTCATCTGTAGCAACATGGGGTATTTCCCTGCGGGGAAAAGATTCAAAGGATTCCACACTCATCCTGACTTTGTAGTTAACTGATGGCAGGTTAATGATATGCAGTTTCACATATACAGTTATGTTGGCAAAGCAAAGGAACACAAAAGTGCAACTGCATAAACACAGGTGAGTGCCAGCTTGGGGTTGGTAGAAGGTGGTGTATTGAAAACCTTTGCAAATCCACAACCTTGGACTGATGTTGAGGGGGAGTTAAGAGAAAGAATGGGTTCAGACTCTTCTCTGCAGAGCTATAAAACATATCAAAGGGCACTCAACACAGGTGGTGACATGGGAGGTTGGATAGTCTTTAGAAAGATAAAAGAAGTCACTGTGCGTGAACAGTGCTGACTGCTGCCAAGGGGGATTGTGGGTCTCCATCCTTGGAAGTTTCCAAGACCTGGCTGTACAGAACTGTGACTGAATGACTGACCAGATCTAACATTAGTAAATCAATAAACCATTTTGACCCACTTTTAGTTGCTCCAAGTGAAGCAGTTCAGGTTTCCTCTGTAACAGCAGTTAAAGACAGAAATGGAGAAAGAATTTAGAGGTGGGTTACAGTGACTACCTGCAGGGAACAGCGTGCAGGGAACAGCGTGTGAGAGGGAGGTGACCTCTGGAGCTCTACTCTGGCCAACCACGTGTAGATTTTCACATTTAATATATAAGAGGGACTATGAAATTTGCTAATAAATTAAGGTGACAGTCAGTGTCTGTGAGGTAAGGCTTGGGATTTTAGAAAGGAAAGAGTCAGGTATGGATTTGGGAAAATAAAAGAACTAGGATGAAATTTAGTAGTAAAAAGCTCAAGATTATAGTTGGTGTGACAGATTAGTGACAAGAAATTCTGATACATGTTGGAAGTTCATCACATGGATAGGCAATGAGTTCAGGATTTTAATTAATTAGGTGGGTTTAATGTCAACTCAGCTGAATCACAATAACCATCCATGTGACTGCTTTTAACTCATGGTAAGTATGAATTGCATTTCCCTAGGTGAGTCCTAATGAAGGAAGGCTACCCCACATTTGCTGAGCATGATGTTAATAGCTGAGGTGATGTCCATGTGCAGTGTGTGTTAAGCTGTCTGAGCCCCAGCTGCATGAGGTACAGTGAGCTATTAAGGTTTTGTAGCTGTGAGCAAAGGAGCATCGTTCTAGATGTATAAATTCAGTTTTTATATTCAGTTTATTGAATACATATAAATAGCTCAAAGGCAGGTGTCAAGAGGATGGTGCCAGGCTCTTTTCAGTGGTGTCCAGCAACAGGATGAGGAGCAATGGCCATAAACTAAAACACAAGTTCTGCCTCAACATGAAGAAGAACTTCTTTACATTGAGGGTGGAAAAGGCTGCCCAGGAAGGTTGTGGACTCTTCCTGTCTGGAGTCATCCAAAACCCACCTGGACACGTGTAACCTGATCTAGGTGACTGTGCCATGGCACAGGGTTGTCCTGGATAGTCTCCAGAGGTCTCTTCCAACCTAAAAATTCTGTGACTCTAGGATGTATGATAATATATTTTTCTGCAGAATTTGTATTAGTGCTATTGCACGACTCACTGATAAAATCTGGAAAGTGTGTTGACAGTTTTGGTCACCCAGAAGGTTGAACTGAAAGAAATATGTACTGAGGGTGACTACTAGACTAAGTGGGGGAAGGAATGAGAAAAAACAAAGATTGATGAGCACAATGAAGCCTGAGATGACACTTTAAATACTAGGGAGAGGAAGAAGCTCTGTGAAAACTAAAGGATGAGATTATGACAAGAAAAACAAGTGAACTGGCCATGAATAGTGATTAAATGTAGAAACAGCTTAAATGCTGAGATTCAAACTACTGGTATAAATGTAGTCACCAAAATCTAAATTATTAAGAAAGCACTGGATCACTGCATCAAAGGGGTCTGTATGATGTTGGTTTCCTGTGTGACTACTGGCTGGATTTGATGACCCAAGAGATAAATGGATCCATTTTTCAGTTTCTATTACATTAGTCCTGATATTGATGTCAGCGTTATGATGTTATTGCATCTGTGTAAACCAACTTCAGTAAAGACTTCTTATTCTTTCTTTAATTCTTCCTGTGTTTAAATAGGACATTCAGTTGAGGTAAATCCAAGAATTGTTGAGTTTATTTCTTTGTTGTCTCTTGGATGTGTGAGCTTCTGATATATGAAAGTAATATAACAAAGAGCCTTTTGTCTTTTATTCAAGTAGAAAGTGTCAGATGAAGGTTAGCAAAGTTGTTTTTGTTTGAGAATGCAGGAACAAGTTATCATGGTATGTCATCTTCCTTTTCCTATTTCAAATTAAAATACAAAAACTAGTGAAATACCAAAGTTAAATGGTTACATGTAAGGCTATCTCTGCTTCTCCATTTCTGTTCTCTATTTTGACCTTAAAGAGCTGTCATGCTAATGGATTATATGTTGATTTTTTTTCTAGTTTTTCCTCGATAATACTGTGATAGCTTTTCCCTCAGTTCTTAATTCATCAAATGCAAGTTTTCCTAATTCAAGTAATCAGACACGGTGGTGTATACAAAATAACTGTTTTTTCCTACCGGTAAGTTCATTTCACATTTCTTTGTTTGTTTACAACAATTACGCTAAATTGACTGTTACCAGATCTGCTTGAAGTTAAACACCCACCCATTTTTGAGACTGCAGTAAAAGCCTGAATTTTTTTTTTTTTAGTCAGCTGCAACTGCATTTGAAGTAAGTGGGAAGTTAAATGAGATTAGTATTTCTGAAAATAGAGGTTTTAATGAATGTCAGATTAAAAAAGCAGGAAACAGCATAATAACAAGGAAGCTTGATTCACCCATGCTAACACATTACAAGATACCAAGATAACACACAGCATCTGCAAACAGACTGTGTACTGAATCCAGATTAGTCTGCAGGCAGGTTTCCCATGGCATGAATATTTTCATGTGGCTTACCTGAAAATATTCACCATATTCATCAAGTGTGAAATTGTCACACTTCTGTCATTGCATGTTTTGGAAAAGCTGGTGTGAGAGGGATGGAAATAACTCTCATGTGCCACTATATAAACTGCTTAAGAGACCTGAACCGATCTGAAGAAGATGTCTCAGTGTGAACAGAAGCACAATGAGACATGCAAGAGGAGGGGGAAGGACATTGCTGCAAAAAGTGGGACCTGTGTCCTAGAGAGCAGTGATTCTTAAAAGAATTACAAAAGACCTGCAGTTGAAAATATCAAGCCATATATTGTGTCAGAATAGGTCAGCTGGGTTTGGGTGAATAAGCTGGTGGCAGCGAGAGGAGAAGGGAGTTTATTTCACCTCTATGGTGAAACAATGAGACCATTACCAAAATGGTGTGTCCTGATTTCAGGATTTTTAGCTTTTAAAGTATTAAACCAAATTCTTTCATCTACAAAATTTTTTTTTGATAGATTGGCATAAAAAAATTACGTTAAAATTTAACTTCTGACATTAATAAATGAAAAATTAAAGTTAGCTAAAGATTTTAAAACTTTTAAAACATCTCTCAAATATGCATTGTTTTCATCCCCAGACACTGCAAATATTTTAACTTGAAAAAGCTGTAAATTCCTTTTGAATTACCACTTTTAATTTTTTTCTTTAATCTGGGATTAAAATTTTTCTCTCTTCACTCTATAAGATACTGAGTACTTAGGCTTAGTACTTAGACAAATGTTTGTTTCCTTAAATTAAAAATGTGTTATTTTGAATCTGTGTGTTAGTTTTAAGCCTTTATTCATGTCAATAAACTTTTATGTGATTTATGATAGTAAACTTGACATCTATTGACTATGCCATCTAAAATGAGTACATAAGAGCTTTGGGAATTACTTTAGCTCCAATTGATTTAAGTTCATTTTGAAGCAAAGCAATTTATTTGCCTCCTTCTCTACTCCTCAGAATGACTTTTTTGATTAGTATAGCTTACTTTTTAAAAAGACTTAGCAAAGATTCCTCAGTAAATTATAGCAACATTTTTTTGTTTATTTTGCTGTGGTGCTTCTGTAGTTTGTGTGTAACAGAAGTTGATGTGTGTATTTGCTCCTGGGACAAAATACAGTCTGGTATCAGTGCTGCCACCTCCACATGTTAAATAAATAGAAGTTATAATAATGACATCTAAAAGATGCAGTTTTGGAATATGTTTTGTTTGACTAGGAGAATTTTTTACAAAATTACTTTCTCCTCAAGTTTTCGTCTATAGTCATACGGAAGTAGAATTCCTTCTTACTTCAGTAAAGATGTTTATACATACAGAACTGCAGGTCTTGAATTTCAAGAGAAGAGACCAAACGCATTGGGCTGGTTCCTAAGTGTGTACTACCCTGGTGCAAGACACCAGACCTGTGATCCCAGTAAGAAAGACACCCAGACTCTGTAAGGTGTTGGTTAAAATACCTTTATTAGCTAGCACGAGAAACAAAAAGAGACTAGATGGAGTTACTCCCCTTCAGATGATGAGGCTTGACTCATACAGCATGAGGTGCAGGTTCTGTCTCTGGAGAGGTTACCCAGCATTTTCCTCTTTTGAGCTGTTGGAGTATTTTCTTAAAAGGAAATATTTATGTTCACTGCTTCAGCTGTCAGGCAAAAGGGACCTCCATGAGAACTTGCTCTTGCACTGTTGGAATAAGCCAAGGCTGCAGAGGGGGCATCACGTTGGTACCAAGTGGGAGCTGCCTGCAGGCTCCTGGGATGTTGACTGAGCTGGCTGAGGTTATCCTGGGGCTGGGGGCTGCACTAAGCAGACCAGGGGCCTGCTCAGCTTCACTGCTCTGTGAATTGCCAAACTCTCCAGATCTGCTTGTTGCTAACTGAAACACTGCACTGCAATGCAAGGTCTGGATTCTTAAATGTGTGGCGGTGCCACTCTTTTCTAATTCATCCACCCTTGTCTGACATTTTCTATCTATTCTATATATTTCTATGGAACACTGTCAGAGACTGTTCCACTAGAAAATTTCTGGGTCTTTGTCAAACAGTATTCAGTTGCGGGTTCAAGACAACCTCCCCTTGTTTCTTTTTGGAAAACTGATTTCAACACTAGAATGCCTTATTGACCCAAAAAAGGATGCTGCTATTTTTATGTAATCATGGAGTGTGACCTCCTCTGAAATGCAACTATCAGAGAAGTTTTATTTTTTGGTGATTCTGAACAATAGTTCTATTTCTTATTTCAACCAGATCTCCTAGCAAATTACAGTAGCAGCAAAGATTGAGACGGCAGATAAATTCTGTCTGATGGGTGCTGTGAAAATTATCCTTCTTAGTGATCCTCCAAAATTAGTATACAGTGATTCAGGTTCTGTCAGAAGTGCTGCCATCAACAAGTCAACAGTAGTCTGAAAATAGCATGACTAGAAATAGAATGCTTTGTAGCTTCAGAAAAGAAACGTCCTTGCAAGGTGCAGGACTGTAATTTTCAGGAAGCATTTCTGGCAAAGGGGTTGCATATTAAAGAATAAAATAATGATTCTAGAGATTATTCCTGTTTTAGCACTAATTTTGATGTCGTAATCAATTCCCAGGAAGTATTAGGAGAAGATATTTTTCCAGGAATTTAACTTCAACCATACATATTTTTGTTGATATATATGATATGGGAAAGAAAAGGCACTTTTTTTTTAGTAATTGAATGTGTTCTTATACAGTTATTACTCCACAGGATTTGAGAGAAGGATTTTTTATATTTATATTATGCATTGACCCTGTTAATAGCTTCGTATTTTTCCTATCCTAGCTGTTTATAAAATTGCATATCTGTGAGATTCATAACTGTGTACTGCATCAGTTTATTATAACAGCTGCAAATACAGGCAATGAAATTATTGCTTCAGGCCTTTAGACATTTTACCTTGACCCAAATGCTAGCAAGACATACAGAGTAATCCTGGGACTCAAGCATAAATGAAAACTGTACAGTGGAACAGGAGTAAATCTTATGTCAGCCTGCTGGCAACAGACTCCCACATTAGATTTCAACACCAGCCGTGGTATCCCACAAATGTAGATGAGTAAATCAAAAGTGTCAAAGGGTGAAAATTAGGGAGCATAAATTTATTTTTATTGGCTGTCTATAAACCACAGTGTCCCAGATTGTGATAGATTGCACACTTCAGTGGTCAGTCAACAATTTGTTTTTTAAAGTAGCCTGAGCATTTTATTATGCATGATTTCCTACTCAAGAGCCAAATTCTAAATATTTTCCATTTGATTTCTCTTTGTCAGTATTTTATATACAGCTGCATATTAGGGCTCATTTCCTGTTCTGTTTTCCTGAGGATAAATTATGAGTTGAAAATGGTAATAATGTTGATTGCATTGGTGGGCTACAATGTTATCCTTCTGCACACTCATGGGCCCATGCTGGATGACTACAGCAAATTTATGTATGCAATGGCACCTCTTAGAAGGTAGGTGGCTAACTCCAGTCTTTCTGAAGTTAAATATTCCTCATGGTAGCTCTTATGTCATGGAACATACGTGGCTGTGTAATCTGAGTCACAGTGTAAAATCATTGTCCTGCTGCAGTTAATATTTGATTTAATGTCACACCTCAGAGCATTAGAATAAAAGAAGTCTTGACAAGGCATTTAAGTCACACACTGTAAGAAACAGAGTATGGTTTAATTTGCATTTTTGTCACAAAGGACGTTACGAGAAGTCATCATCAAGTTTGTTAAGACCTCAGGCTGCACATCATTAAGGCTTTTAGAGCATATTTGCTACAAGCTGAAGAAAATAAGCTTCCCCAGAACTACTACAAAGTCTGAAATGTTTACAAATGAAGTCTTAGTGATTGAAAAATTTGTAGACCAACAGTCTACTAATTTGGATTTTTTTTTCCTTAAGATACATTTGTATCTTAAGTTTTTGGTAAGACTGCTGAAATCTTTGTTACAGCTGATAATATATAGGACCAAAATTATGACTCTAGTTCTTGTTATTGCTCTGTAAAATAATTTTTGGACAGATGTAATTTCTACCTCATTTTCAAAATATAGAGGTGATTCTCTTCTGTGTAGCTAAGTGTATGACACATGCCACACCAGAAAATCTGGATATTCATAGTGCAGTTTCAATATCATTTTTCCTATGCTGTAACAATCATGGAAAAGGATCTAAATTGAAAAATAACTTAAAAAAACAAGTGTAGTTTGTTTTTGCACTTAAATCTAAAGATCAAGTGAACAAACCCAAGTCTTTGTTTCAATTTTATTAATGGAAAGAGTATGTGTGTGATGGTATGGAGAACCAGGGGACAGGTTAGATTGAGCTTGTGCTTCTGGCAGCTTTGATTTTGTCAGTCAAGCTCTGGGTATGTTGGTATTTTCCTTCCTAAATCTCTTGCCAAGGTTTTTATTTCAGTGACATAAGTAGGAGAGTTCTAGTGTGAACTGTTTTCCACTACCTTTAGTGACTTTTGCCAAAGCAGAGTTTTTAATAAACTCTGTACAAGATTAGTTTGTGCCTCCTCAGGTGAAAAGATATCTTGGGAGTTAGGTGCTTTAGTTTCTGTTTCTTCATATTCATTGGATATGGTCAAGCTCTCCACAATGGAAATAGTGTTATTGCATTAAAAATCTATTTTTATTCTACTTGTATAGAATAAGTCACAAATACTCTCCATTTGCAAGTAAAAAAGGATATTATTTTTCTTAAATCCTCGTCTTATTATTGGACTTCAAAATGTAGGCACATTTGCAGAGAATGTAGCAGAGGTAATTAAAGCTACATAATAAAAATAATGATATTTTATCAAATAATAGATCGTATCATATTTACATGTTCTTAGTTTATGTACCAAAAAGTAGGACATATAAATTGTGGTCTTATTTTTGTGCTCGAATTAATATTGGTTTAACTTTTGAGCAACCTGCTTTACTTAAATTTTTATTCTATAGGCCAGGAATACTGAAGGACCTGAAGACCATGGGCTCAATTTCCTTGTTCATATTCTTCATCACATTACTGGTTTTGGGTAGACAGGTAAGACACACACTTCTCTTCACCTGCACCAGTGGACGCAATGCCAGCTGCCACGTGCAGCCTGTCACCTTCTCAAAGAAACACCTTTGTCCTGTTCTTTCCCATACCCTTGCAAAGGAGTGTCAGGAGCATGTATAACATTATTTTCTTTCTTGCCTTCCAATACACCCTTTAAACCCACCAATAACTATCACTGACACTATGATGATAGTGTACTGTGACTACTCCTTGTCATTCTGACCAATACTGGCTTGCAGCTTCCCAGTTTGCTCCCATCTGTCTGCATCCATCTGCTGTCTCCCTGGTTGCTTAATTGCAAGCTATTTTCTTCAGTTATTACAATTTGGTGCAGACACAGAAACAATACAGCATGCACACAGAAGTGTGCCACATTCTGAGGCCATGGTTTCACTAAAACTGTGACCCAACAGGAAATGACTCTTTTTATGACCCAGTTGTGCTTTTCCAGAATGAATGTGATGTCAATGGTCTTACCCTGTACTAAGCTGAGGGAAGATGCAAGGGCAGTTCTTTCTCTAAATCCTCAGGCTAAAATATGCAGTTCCAGCCCATTGTGCCAGAACAATGCAGTGCACAAGACAGGGCTCTGAAATGGAAGAGGCAATCCATGTGAGAGCTCATGAACAGCCTGAGCCTTCACAGACTGCAGCTGTGAAAGGATTTTATCCCAGACTGTCCTTAAATATTTCATGTACATTACAACTCCTCAAAAGTTAATGACTGTCATTTAAATTGCCATGCAGGCCCTGCAGGTTACTACATAAAAAAATTGTTATCTGGCAGTTTCTGCAGTATTTATTGTAGTGGGGAACATCCTTCTTGATTTAGAAATACATTCTTCATCTGCCTTGTCACCAGCAGCACGTTGAAGTTTGTTCATTTGATGGTGGTGACAGGGTGGGTCTAGAGCACAGCTACTTTCCCTCAGAAAGAGGGACAAGTTCTTCATCCCATCAGTGGAGAATCTTTAGTCTCTGTCAACCCAAGTTTCAGATGGAGGCAGAGGGTGCAATACCAAGAATAAAGGAAAGAAGGAATATCATCTTCACTGGGAAAGGAAAAATTTCTTTGTGCTTTCAGTCACATCAACATGGAAGCTTGTTCTGCACACAACTAGAGGTGTTCTCTGTCACACCAACTAAGAAATTATTGCATAATGGAAAAAGTCTTCATTTTCAGAACTGCAGGTCCAAGAACCTTGTCATGATAGAACTTATTTGTAACTCTTCAGTCTTTTGCCTTTGATTTTTCTAACTTATTCTCCCTTAAAGATGGAGAAAAAAGCTTCTGCATTTTCAAATGATCTCAAGCAAAGTCTAAATATTACTGGAAAATGTTATGAACTAATTTTACATACCTTGCATAAGACCTGCCATTTAAAGTTACTGTTGGTGATATTGATTGGTAGCAAATGCTTGGAAAAAGAATAGAGGAGGAAATCTACCTGCATAGAGTGACCTTTTCATGGACATATACTTCCCACCTTCTGCCAGTTATTATTTCTGTGGCTGTGTTTAATAGCTATTGGCTCTTCTACTTTCTGTGTCACTGTCTGATCCTTTCTTTATCCATTTTATCTTCCTGGTGTTCCCAATACTGATAATGAATTTCACAGTTTGATAAAAATTCATGTGACAGTGTCTGTCTTTCTGTTTTTAAACTTCCTCTTTTCGACTTCTATTGAGTGGCACTTGCAGGATGCTGTTGAGCCATCTTGGCAGTGTCAACAAAGTCAAATTCTTCTTTATCCCTCTTCCACAGAGGGTAATATGCAAGTAATTTCTCTGTTAGTTATTGCATTTTTTGCAGATAATACATATTTTTTCTTCTTTTGGTATCTGATTATTTAAAAAATGCTAAAGATAATAGCTACTGATGAAAAGGGTGGCCTTTCTATTTCCCTTCAGCTGCCATTGGTGCTCCTCTGTCCCTAGGATGAGTAACCAAAATGTTCATCCAAACAATAAGTGGATGGTTTCTTGCAAACCTAGCTCTGTGAACATGGTCACCACTGGTCATAGAGATGCCTCTCCTGAATCAAAAGCAGAGGCAGGGAATCAGACCCTCTGGTTCAGTGGGGATGAAGAGAGGAAGAGTTAGTATATCATTACATGGTTTATGAGCCTGCTTAATTTCTTTAGCTGCACAGCTAGTATCACTGCTGGAAGAAGCAGACCTTCCTTCAGCTGCTTATTCTTATCCTTTTGTCTCCTCATTTGTACTGGCCCAGCTCACTGTGTAGATGTTCAGTGGATCAAAATAGGGAAATGGTCAGGATTAAAAATTAACCCTGCAGAAATTTCTTGCCTGGGCTTGAGCCAGATCTATTTTCAAGATTTATGGCATGGCCACAGCAGTGTTTGTGCCAGAAGAATGGGGGTGAACAGACAAAAGTGAGGTGGAAAAAGCAGAATTGGTTTATTTTGATGGCCCTGCCCGCATAGGTGACAATAATTTCCTGACACTGAGACAAAGTGACTCATTTCACCCTGCGTACAGATCCCGAGAGTTACCTGAAAATGGGCTGGCAACAGGCAGACAATGTGTTGAGAATGGTGATTCTTCCACCCTTCCCAGGAGAATCCAGATTGGTGTGGGCTTGACTGTGTTAGGAGTGTGCTCACATTTAAACACTGTTGAGCACTAAATCTCTCTTATGCTCTGCTTTGAATCCAGTATTGACATAGCCTGTGAATTCCTTTCTCAACAGCACCTAAGATGTTATGTGTCCCGTTCCTCTATAGGCTGGCTGTATAGATCATTTTCCATGATTGATTATATTGTAGTTATCCACACTGAATTTCATTGGTAGTTTTATTGCTGAGGTGCTTGTGGCAGCTTCCCAGATCTGTAAAACTTATTTCTTTGTTGTCTCTGTTCTGGTTTTTAGTGAGCTTTTATTTTGTGAGGGAATTCTTCTCTTTTTGAAAAAAGTAGTCTCTTCAAGAGCCTCTTCTGAAAGAATTCAATGAAAACTTACTTCAAATTTCACTGCTAGTCACATGACCATTTACTTCTTTGTAGTAAATGGAGGCATGTTTAGAGAAAGTATGTCAACTCATCCAATTGTATCAGCATTAGCCAGTATGTCTAAATAGCTCTTTTCCATAGCATTTGCTGGTTTTTTTTTTTACAGAGTACCTTGCTCTATTGTTCCTGCTTCTTTTCCAAAGACTTGCCTTTGGAAATCATACCCTTTGTCAGTTCTCTAACACTCTGTCTTGACTGATCAGGATAAGTTTCGTATCATGCAAACAAACAAAAAAACCACCACCACCACAATTCAAAGTAAGTTAATAAGCTGGTGCTCTTCTCTTTTTGAAATATGATATGCTGACCTTTCTAATTTCAAAGCAAATTGTAGAATACATTCTGATTTTTCTTTTCTGATCTCGGAGTTCTCTTTGCCCTTTTTTGGATCAGCCTAAATTTAATTCAGTAAAGAATAAGGTAGTAAATAAATTATCTTTTTTATACGAGCTTTTAAAGAATAAGCATATTTTTGAAAACTTCACTTAGCTACCACCTTTTCTTTTCACTACAAAGTTGGTACAATCTGTGGATATTTAATTTCAGCAGGCATGTTACTTTTATGAATTTATGCCAAGAATTTTGACATCCCAGGGTTTTACTGGATTTTTTCTGCATGAATACCATTTGTGGCATTTGAATTTACCATCTATGTGTATTTATATTTATACTAATCCAAGTTCTTGGATGTACAAATATCTAGTGCATATATATATATAAACATTCTAAAAAAGTGACTGCATCTATTTTGCATCATGTGGACAGTTCTGAAAAAAATCCCTATTCATGACCTCAAACTTTATAGGACTGATTATTGCCATTTAATACAGGCACAATGACAGGGCAACAATAAAATCCTATTTCCAAGTTCCTGCAGAAATCTGTTCTCAGGTTCTCTGTACCTTTATGATTTTCTGTACAAGTATGTAAGTCTCTTCCCATTCTTATTTTGCCTATAGTTTGCAAATATCCTTTAGTAACATATAATTATTTAAAATATCCAGCTTATTTGTGTATTTGTCATTCAAAGTCCAGATTTCTGAGAGGCAGCATGATCCATTCTAAGATGTCAAGACCCCTTTTACTTTCAGAAAAATGCCACCTTTGAGTCAGAATAGCCAGAATATTTCTTCTGCAGTGCATTTCAGGTTTGCATTCTGTCCTTAGTAGTATTGGTATCAGCACAAAGAGAGTATGGTAACAGTGATTTCATGTGATGGATGTTCTCTTTCAGTTTTGTAATTAAATATTTAAATACTACTTGGCCCTTATCAACCAATTCAAAGGAAACCTGAGTATATTTCTCTCTATGCATTTAAGTGGAGGAATAATTTTCCTCTTACTGTTTTTTCATCCTGCAAGTATTTGGAAGTTACAGTTTTGCTTCATCAGTTTTTTTTCTTTCATTGCCTTTTAAAAGCTTGCCAAATCATTTTAATACCATCTAATTTCAACTTTCTACTCTTATCTTTGGCTTTGATCTCAATAGAATATCTGTGAATCATTTTGAGCTGTGACAGCCACTGTCCAGTCAGAAGGACTACTCTCATTTTTTATGTCAATGCTTACTGACTGCTAATACCAGTAGCTAGCACTTTTAAGTTTTTCTATAATGATTGCCATCATAATCATATTCTCCTGGTTAATAACATAGTCTTCACTGAGATTGCCTGTTAGTGTTAAACAATTAAGACTATGTTGAAATAGCTCTTGATTTTTATCAGGTCAAATGAAATAGGCCAAGAGAAGGAGGCTTTACTGTGGAAATAATACCATCGAATTCATGACAACACCTTGGCAATACTGAAAGGAAGTAGAGAGAGCTCCACAAAAGTGCAGCTTTATTAATTTTCAACCACCTTTCTAGTGAAATTGGATCTCAAAACATACTGATATTCCAAGGACTTTGCGTATTTTCATATAGTTCCAGGTATTGTTGTTGTGGTTACTGAAAAGCTACTGGGACAAAAAGAAAAGCAGGATAAAGTATTACAGAAAGGAGTGTGAAACCAACCAACCAACCAACCAAAAAAAGCGCAACTACCAAAACCAAAACTCAACTGAATTGGCCTAACTGACTGGGCCATTTTTGATAGTCTGATCATAATTTGATATACTGAATGTATATTATATCAATGGGCTGTTTTCTTTTTTCCAGGCTGGTGGCATGGTGTAAGTCCCAGTTAGTAAAAGTTAGGGTCTTCCTGAAATGCCCATTATTGTAAGTGAAATTCTGCACTTACAAAATAATATTAAGTTACAAAACTGTAAATTGTTTCCCTTACAGTGTTTGAATTCTGAAATTAATTTCTACTCAAGTTTAAGAGTAGATAAATAAATCTTCTATTGTTTAAGGCACCGTGCAACTTTTCTTATTTTCTCCTGGGCCTTTTTGCTGGATTTGATAAAATGTATGTCACAAAGTCAGTGCTTGGGTTTTGACTTCTGTGGGACCTGGAATTATATTTGAGTAGCCAAATAATAGCATTGTAGGGGTTGTGTACTGTGCTTATTTTGTCTCTTAAACCTGTACTCCAGCAGGACAAGATGCCTATTGTTTCTTTACTTCTGTGTCCTCTTGTAACAGAATGAATATTACTGTAGGTTAGACTTCCTGTGGAAGAACAAGTTCAAAAAAGAGCGGGAGGAGATTGAAACCATGGAGAACCTAAATCGGGTGCTTCTGGAGAATGTGCTTCCAGCCCACGTAGCTGAACACTTCTTGGCAAGAAACCTGAAGAATGAGGTCAGCTGTCTCTGTATATCCTCTACTCTGTAAGAAAGCAGTGTACCCTGGAAATACCGCTTAATGCTGTTTTGAACAGTAGGTCCTTGCGAAAATATAGATTTACAGACACTTTCATTTCCACTTCCTTCCTGTAAGGTTTGCTTTACAGCACTGAATACACCATAATACCCTGAAATAAAAAGGTGAAATTTTCCTAAGTGGCAATGCACTTTGCCTATTGAACGACGGTAAAAATAGGTGAGGAGGAGGAAGAACAGAATGGCTGAATCAACATGGGTTTAATTTTAAATCATATGCATTCAGATACTTTTTTCTCCATGATCAGAGTGGAGTTGCAACCAGGTTCTGAATTTTCTTCTGTTCACTGGAGAGCTTGTTTATTGGAGTGAAAATTAACCTTTTCCCTGAAACAGTGGCTATGTTAATTCTGGAAAGATGTTCTGAACACTGAATTACCTGTTTATTCACTGCTTAATGGACCTAATCCAATCACCAGAAAAGTCACCCAAAAGATCCATCTTTACTTTTCTGGAAATTAGATCTGGTCCTAATATTCCTTTACAGTAATAATAAAGAAAAATATATATATATAAAAATCCATTTAGAGAGAGTAACAGCTATAGAGTTCTTAAATGTAAGATTTTTAATTACTTGTGCTTGCCAAATAATTGTTTCAAAAATGACAAAAGAGGGCAGAGGGCAGATTTAGGGATTCATTTTTGATCTCCTGAGCCGAAAAGGACAACATCTTCCTTTTCACTGTGGATTGCATTAAGCAGTACTAATCAAGACTGCATTTCAATACTTTAGTATTCCCTGCAAATATTCATTTGGTAGCTAACAAAAATTGCTGTGGGGTTCCTTTGAATGCAGTGAAGATTTTGGCTGGAGGCCAAGTTGACTCAGCTCCAGTTCTCAGTTAAGGCATTAAACACAGCAAACCATCAGGAGATTGCTTTCTTGATTATGTGCTACTCTACCTCAGCTCCCCAGCAGAGCAGCACCATCTGCTTACCTTTGTGTCAGCTACCAGATTTATCTTGTCACCCCTCAAGATTCTTAGGTTGGAATGAGTTTACTTAATTTAATGAGGCACAGAAACTGTAATGTGCTGAGCTCCCCAACTCATCATGTCAGGTGAAGTAAAAATGATTTGTCATGATTTTAATGACATCCATTGAAAAAACCCCAAAAAACCGAACTCAAGTTGTTCTTGGTTTTGTTTCTTTCAACAGTTTTCAAAGGAAGGCCCTTTCAAACCTCTGGAAGTATTCAGGAATATAAGTATCTGTCATGTCTTTAGATTTGTTTCAATATTAGCAATGTTCTGTATGTAGATACAGATGTTAGGGCAGATTAGGCCTTTGTTTTCTCTGTGTGGATACCTGAGTCAACAGATACGACACTGAAATTTGTCCATATTTTCCTTAGCTGCAAACATTCAAGTTAGTATAGTTTGATGTGTGTTCTTTTCTGTTTAAAACAGATTCTGAGATTAAGAAAATGGATGAATATTCTATTTCAAAATACTACTTCCCTTAGTATTTTATGCATGCAGCTGTATATGGAGAAAAGGGAAGATAAAGTGTGCTGCTGAAAAACAGGCAGAAGAAATAAAAAGGGATAAAGTGAGTGGATGAATGCTAACTGGGAGCAGTTGGACTGTAGTTTCAAATGACCAACAAAGGTCTTTTTATAACAAGATACATATATTGACTAATGCTAATACACCAAAAGCAAAGGTCCTTCAGAGTAAATAATAAAGGTTTGTTTGCTTTAACCAGAACCTCCAGAGGTGGGTTCTGCTTATAGTCTGCATGCTGGATACAAGACAGGTTATTTTCCAATTGAAAGACAGGCTCAAATCTAAAATGAAAAGCAGGAAACAGGGCCAGGATTAAATATATCTGCACCTGGCTTTTGCAGCTTTCTCCTTAATGCTTTTATCCTTCAGATTCCCTATTAGTAAAAAGTGCTTGGGAGCTTTTGTGCTGCAAGCTAACTGGCAAGCCCATCACTGAGCAGGAGGAATTGTGCTTTATTAGCTACAGGATGGAGCTAGCACCTTACTTAGAGAAAAAATTCTGCCCCAGAGAAGCTGACCACCATACCCTTCCAAGGGATAGAATTGGACTGATTTGCCTTCTCTAACTCAGGAAGATTTTCAGACACTGGAGATGAGGAGACAGTAAAAGGAACATACTTGCAGAATTTCAGATGTTATTAAAGAGAGAAAAGAAAAGGATTGAATGCAAAAGACAGGATGATTTTATTTTTGTTAAAATAAGAAAAGCTGTTCCTTCCTAGAATAGTATTGCACTTAATTTTCTGACTACACATTTTGGAGAGTACTGTTTCAAGAGAAGAATTCTATGGAAAATTAAGGCACTCAATTGTAACATCCTTTATTAATATGATCAAAATAAACTAGATGGGGATGACTCCTTGAAATTCTCTGAAATTTATTGTGATAGTCACAATTACTACTTATCTGGTTATAAATAGTGCCACTTGTTGTTTCCATGATGGTGCTATGTTATTGAGCATTCATTAGTGGGGATGGATATTGCCACCATTAGAGAGGAAGGAGGACAAATGGGTTGCTATAATTCAAATGAAGTTACAGGGAAGATGACCTGAGGAAATAGAAGTAAAGCTGGGTTAACCACAGAATGTAGTCTCTGTACCTTGTTAAGGAAATACCCCATCTGATCATGCAGGAGCCGCTCTGGCAGTCAGACCTTCCCGGAGAAGGGACCGAATTCCCTTCACAGTGGGCAGCTCCAGTGAGCCAACAGGTGCCCTGCTTGACTCCTCACACACCACACACTCACATTCAGATCAGATTTCCTTACTGGCTTGACCCTTGGGTTTCCCACAACAGAGTCTCAAAAATCTGGATTTAATCATGGTGCGACAAGAGAGTAACAGCTGGAGCTCTGAATCAATATATTCCATCCCTACAGCATACAGTTGTGGTGGAGCTTCAGTGATGGTATGGGCATAAAATCCCTAGAAAATACAGGAGGCACAAAAAATCTAGTAATAAAAAATTTATCTCCTCCAGCTGCATGTGTTCCTTCCTGTCCATCATTATTTTCATGTTTGCTCAGAAACTTCCCTCACACCTGTGATAGGATGAAGCAGTCAGCAGTTTTCCCATAGCTCTGTTATTTTTCAGTTGTATATCAGCTGTAAAGATCCACTATGTGCACATCTGTGTACAAGCACACCACATTCTTCCAAAAGGACACACTGACTGTCAAATTGCAAAACCCAAGCTTTGCTAAGTAAAAAGGGAAATACTATCTTATGCTTCTTGAACTCACTGAATAAATCCTTTGCATGTGAGTATTGAAATCACTTTTTACTCAAATAATAACTTGAAGGTAATTTGACATTAAAGTAGATAGCAGCCTCGTTTATTGCTGTGTCTACCTTTGTGTATAGATGCTATTTCTTTTTTTAGTGTTAGTTTAATAAATTTTATTTCTTTCTGTCTTTTTTGGGGGAATGTGAATTTGTCCTGAAAGAAGAGATAGTCTAATGTTCAAGGACAGTGGAGAGGAAACTGAAGGGGGTAGTGAGAGGTGGTCAATTTTAGCACCAGAATCTTTCTGTGGAGATGCTCTCGTTTCAGTGGTCACAGAGGGTAGTGCAGACTCTGCCGTAAGTAAGTTTCAGTTCAGATGACTTCTTTCTTTTTGGTCCAGCTCCTTGTTTTGCAAAAGAAAGGATATTTTGGATTTTTGCAAAAAAAAAGGTAGTTATTTTGTCCTCTTAGGCATATTGTCATTCTAGTTTGGGAACTATCAATCAGGGTCATTTTGCATTATGCATTTGTACTATATTGAGTTTGTGATTTTGGTTCAGTTTTTTAGTTAGTACAATAACAAACAGCTAATAATAAATTGGATATTGTTTTACAAAATACATTTCCAGTCATGCAAGCTAGACTAAATTCTCTGCATAAGAAATCTCAGAGATGGGCCCTATCTAATGAATTAGTGAACATTTTGCTTTCACAAAGTTAATGTTCAGGAAGAAAAAAAAATCATTACAATATTTTCAGCTTTATGTGTTAAGTCTCTTTTATGAATAGGTTTATGCATTGTTTAAAATTAATAAATGCAGCTAAATGCAAAAAACATCCAACTTCCATCTTAAGGCATTCCAACTACTGCAGCACCTCTGTTTTTAGATCCTGGATACTGCATGTTAATAAGGAAACTTATTTACAGCTGGGTATGATAATTTCTTTTTCTTTATACTGTTTTCTTTTGGACAGGATCTGTATCACCAGTCATACGACTGTGTCTGTGTCATGTTTGCCTCTGTTCCGGATTTCAAGGAATTTTACACAGAATCTGATGTAAATAAGGAAGGGTTGGAATGTCTCAGGCTGCTAAATGAGATCATTGCGGACTTTGATGATGTATGTACCTACAACAGGGATGGTTTCAATCTTACTGACTCATGATATGCAACAGTCAGAAAGCATACTTGAAGGAGAGAGTGGAAGAGCTGTCAGAAAATACTTACAGGGACTATTAAAGGAAAAAGAGATTTATGTGGGATAAATCAGATATTGATCTGACATCATATTCAATTGCTTTTGATTTGCTATAGTGAGAATCATGTGAGTATATATTTTTTTTGCCTGTTAGCTGCAGCTTTTGAAACAGTTACATTACCTGCCATGTATTAATCAGAGGTTCTAAATATGAATGTCTAAAGTCAGGTATAACTTTGTGTTATACCTGATCTGCACTGATGATTTGATACACAAGCAAACCAAAGGATTGTAAAAGTTGTAATGTTCCACTTTCTGAAGTCAGAAGCAAGTCGAGGGTATGACTACAGATGGATTGGGAAAAGGCATCTATTAAGCCTCACTGAGAACAGTATTTTTCTATAGGGAAGTTATTAGTGATGAAAATACCAGTAAAAGGCATTAAAATCGTGTCATGACTCAGAGAGCACAGTCTGGATTTGTGTATCTACAGCTGTAGAGGGTATTTTAGCAGCAAACCCATTTGGAGAGCATTGGGTGTCCAATATTCAAAACAAACTGGGATATATGAACTAAAATCTTTGGACTTCAGTCCTATCGACATGGAGTATTCCACTGGCATGGAATAGATGCTTACTTTCAGAAAGCTGCATAAAGCTTAAGTGTTGGCTGGCATGGTGATCCAGCTGCAATATCACATGAGTGCGAAGTGTACTGACTTTTAAAAGCTGTATGTAAAATAAGATGGAATTTATTCTCACGACTATAAATTTCATCTCTTTATAGTAAAAAGGTGTTTTAGAAGACAGAAATTCCCTTTCCTTGGAGTTCTATAACCATTGTTTTATCCATCCTTAAGGCCTTCATCCTGTATATATTTGTGAAGCCATTTGAGGTCCATACAGAAACTGTTCTAAGACTTGATTCTCTGACAGAGCTGCTAATCTGAATAATGAATGACTGCCATTGTTTTACAGTTGTTGTCAAAACCAAAGTTCAGTGGAGTTGAAAAGATAAAGACCATTGGAAGCACTTACATGGCAGCAACAGGACTCAGTGCTACACCCAACCAAGAACAGTGTCAGGTACAGGAAAACATGTTTCTGCATAATAAAAAGCATATTCAAATGAAGGCTAAAATTTTGTTCATTAAGCTGCAGGTTATGTATAATAATGTGGCCTAGTTTTTTCTTATTAGCATAGATTGTATTGTACTGGACAAGTATATACTTTAGTAGTCTCTGTGAATTTTTCTTCACATTGCAGTTTGAAAATGCCACCTCTGTATTTGCTAAAACATGCCTTCCACTCTACAGTACAGCACTTTATTCCTATGTGCTGCATCAGGACTGGATTTACAGAGCATGCAAAAGATTGCAAGAATTAAAGTTTTCCATTGTGAGCTGGAGGGATGATTTGCCTTACTAACTATACACTTTTAGAACACTCAGACTCAGCATTGAGAATATGTTCCTTTGTTTCTAATTTACTTAATATGGTAGGATTGGGAACTGCAGTCATTGGAAATCCAGATCAGAGAAGCAATTCATAACTTATTCAAAAACCTTGATTCTGACATGATCTTTAGAGTACTACAGGTTAGCAACAGAGACACAGCAATTAAGAATCAACACAGTCTCTGCTAAGGATTAATGTGCTCTTGCCAAACTCATGTTCCTTCTAAACACAAGCAATTACCACATGAACTATAGAACCTAAGGATCCTGAGGACAAAGAATTATTTTAAATTAGCTCTGACATTTAATGCAGGGAGGTAAAGGAGATGAAGAAAATGCAGAACTGCAGACCAAAGATGTGAAGACATAGAGAGCTCTCAACCACAACTAAAACTAGTGTATGCAGAGGAAAAATTTACCATTTGAGTTATTTCCACAATCAGGAGATCCACCTTTTAGCATTCCTTTGGTGATTTAGTTCACATTCTCAAAAGAAACCCACCAGAACTCAGCAGCCTTCATTCCAGATTCCCAAAAATGCACAGATTCTGCAGTACCTAGTGTGGCAATGACTGATTGCTAGACATACTGCTGGGAACCACCCCCAGCTTAAAATAAGCATCTAAGGAAGACTAAGTGCCTAAGGAAGGGGTCTGAATATATCAGCTGAACAGGAAACCATCTGTTTTAGCTAGGAGTGAACTCCAAAGGAAACAGGCTTCATTTATCTAAACAGCTGTTGCAGCAAGCACCACTACTGTCCCACCCTAGGCTGATGCATGCACTCCATGAATCACCTCTAAAGTTGTCATCTGTCCATCTCTTCTGTCCCTTTATCTCAAGAAATAGGGAAGATTCAGTAATTTCTCATAGAGATCAGTGAGTCCATGTCTTATGAAATCAGTCACTTGTCAAGATCCTACCTTGGGATGTGGGACACCAAAATCAATTTTCTCCTCGGCCTGAAAGGGCTCAAAACAGCACTTAAAATAAGGTTACTTTGTTATGTATGAGGAGAGATTAAGTCTACAGCCTTGATAAGTGGTATAAGCTCCATAAATAAAAGTGCAGAGTGGGGTTGCCCTCTTCCTCTTGTGTTTTAGTCATTTTCAGGTCTGTTAAATGTTCTCAGATGTACTTGCTTATCTGCAAGATGAGATCAGTGCAAGAATTCTTAAAATTGTGAATTTCACTTGATCTTAAGCATTTTATAAGGGTGCTGAGCTGTGCAACACTGAGAGGAAAGAATCTCTATGGGACTGCCCACAAGTATTATTTATTATGAAAGGAAATACAATAGAAGCAGACATTTAAAGAAAATTAATTAACAAATTCTAGGCACACATAGATATTGAGTGCCTGTGGGATTAGACAGCAGCTAATCAGTCACTTGGCAATCAAAATGTTAGATTAGGCATGGTTTGGATCCATCACCTCTAGACTGCCTGGTTGTTCACAAGTGAATTGCATCCTGTCTCTCGGCCCTTGTTTGATCTAAGTGATGCTGGACTGGGTGCCACCTTCTACATTACTTCTCTGCATCTGCCTGCAGAGGACATCCCTAAGGGCTTACGTGTCTTAAGTGTTCAGCATATTTTGGTTGCATTCTCACAGCAATCAAGGCTCACAAGAATGATTTTACACTGTTTGTCTTTTGAATTCAGGAACCTGAACGACAGTATATGCACATAGGAACCATGGTGGAGTTTGCATTTGCCTTGGTGGCAAAACTGGATGTCATAAACAAGCATTCATTTAATGACTTCAAGTTACGAGTAGGTGAGTATCACAGGATTCTTAGGAGAGCATCATGGACAAGGGGGAGAATTAAAGTAGTAGCAGAACTGACCAAAAGGGCCATGATAGTAAACAGCACCACCTTTACCCTGTTTAAAAGCAGCCTACATGGTATTGTCCATCACCTCCTAGAGTGTTTCAATGATAGACTTGGAAACCATTCCTATTTAAGGAATGGTTGAAAAAAATATGTTCACATGGCTCTGAATGTTTTTTTGGTAACTCTGTAAAAATTATTGTAGAGGTTATAAGCCATACATTTTTGGAAGTTTACAAATACCAAAAGAATACACAAGAAAACTCTAGAATGGGCTTTGCAAAACTATATAAATGGCTTTTCAGAGGACAAGAGCTATAAGGGGTCAGTGAGGCTGGAGTTTGAAATATTTTACATGTACTAGATTCAAGCAAGCACACAATGCACTCTTTCCCTTGAACTGTTAGATGAGAGAGAGTATTTGCCTTTGTTATTCAGATAAGAGCAAAGATGACTAGTTATTTATCTTGGAAAGAGGTATCCCTTATGTTTAGTTTCTAATTGCTTCTTCTTGTGCATCCTGGTATTTTTAAAAAGAAACAGACAGCTGCAGTAAGCAGTAGAAAGAATGATAAAATAAATTAATTCAGAGCTGGTCAAGAACCATATGTTCCAAAATGTTTATTTCCTGATAGCAGTACACAGCAGTTTCACAATGCAATATGTAACGTGGAAAGTGTGAAATGAAAACAGTAAACAAATATTGAAAACCCATAAATTCTGTAAATGTGTCAGAAGTATTTGATTTCCAACAGTTATTCTCCTGTCTTGTCTTTTTCTTGCTGTACCGCTTGCTTTTCCTTTCGGCTGCTCCTCTCAAGTTTATTTCACAGTGCCACCCACTGGCAAAACTTGCTGTCTTCTGACTTGAAACGAGATTCTTAGGGCACTCCTTTGCCGGTATGTTATGTCCTCCTTGCTAGAGCTAAAAATGACCAAGCAAATCAGAAGTATGCTTCCTTCTCAGAGTGTTACAGAACTTGTTGGTTCTGGCCATAGCTGACATTGCACATACCAGCAGCTTCAGTACAGACAGAAAGCTGTTGCGTGCTGGGGCTACATCTGCAGACTGCTTAAAGCAGTACTGGGTCCTTTCAAGTGGGGACCATGAAGCAAAACAAAACACTTCCTTTGGATTTTTACTAATCTTTCTAAAGATTAAAGAGAACCCAGACTCCTTTGCTTCATGAAATGAAAAATATTTTAACTCTAAAAAGGAACACAGGCCCCAAGGTGGTATTTGTGCCACCATAATGCAACACAGGCACCACTGAGATGTTCATTTTCACATCACTTCTTCTCCACTTCCCAACGCCTGATGGTGAAAGCCTCTGATATCCATAGTAATTACAGCCACAAAAAGATTTTAACAACGACTTCTGACCCAGTCCCCACTCTAAGGATTTGTACCCAAACTGCCCTTTGTAAAAGCCTCCCTTGGCCAGCATCTAAGTGTGAATTTTTTTCAACTCATTAGAGGTCTCATTTTTCATAATCTTCTGTGAGTGACTGAAATGCTAGTGTGACGTAGGAGGTACACACTGCTGTGATCTTGTCAGACAAGGGAGGGGAGCATCTAGATGACATTTTAGGCATTCCTCCCCTTCTGCAAGTTGAGATGCTTGATTTATGAGACAAGCTCAGATATACTTTTGCAGCAAGTTTTGCACAGGTATTAGTTTCTTTCAGAAGAGAGGCTGGTGTGTTATTTTCCATATAACTTGATAGTTGGAACATTTGTAATTTGGTTTCTGGTTTTGGGTGAGGCTAGGCCATGAGCCCAGGCTGTAGGATACTTCAGAATGAGGTATTCTCTGTCATTCCTGCTGAACAGTGTTGCATTTCATAGAATGATTAAATATTGCTTTGGATATGAGAGAAAGAGGTTAGAGGATCCACCTGTAGTGAGATTACTACTCTTCCAGCCATGCCCCAAAAACATTCATGTGCATCATGCAAAAAAGATGGAACACCAGCAGGAATGACAGAGCAGTATACCCCACAATGCTTGGGTGGCCAGAACACATCCCTAAGATATACTGGTAGAAGTTTCCTCAAAGGAGGAGGGATCTGAAGGTGACTCCTGAGCCCCTGAGGTATTTCTCAAGTCATCAACACTGGTGGTTCAAGAAGGAGGTAAAAAATAAAAGTCCCTTCCTGCCAATTGTATTTTGTAGGAAAGTCCTACTGCACTGTCCCAGTTTCTGGACCATGGCCACACACATCGCTTCAATATTCCCTGCTAACCAGATTGGGCTACCCAGCAGATGGCTTTTGTGGATTCCAGTCTTAGTTCCCTACTGTTTTCTACAAGTTGTATGTCATGAAGTAGAAAAACCCATCAGTTGTTAATGCAAAGTGTTGCAAGGCCCAAGTCCCTTTATGCATAGAACCCTGAGCACTTAGAAAAATATATATGTACTATGTTTAATAATTCACATGTTCCGTGGGGTGGAGACAGGGACAATACACACACCTCCAAGCTCCATGCAACAGCCTCTTTTATTGTTGACAGCCTCCTTATACAGGGAGTTCAAGATTCCTGGGTCTAGACAGGTCATTGGTCTGATCCTCCCACAGCCCAGCTCCTGACCAGTGAGATGTCCACAGCCCAGGATGGAACGTGATAGCTGAAGTTCCCTGTCTATCAACCCAGGGCTCGGTTTACAGAACCAAGCTGGATTTCTTATTTATCAGTACAAGCCAGTTTGTACAGTAACATATATCAGGTTCCATTTGTTATCTTGTAGTGTTTGCATATTTTCCCAATTTAACTTCTACAGTCATGTTTTCCATGATTTCCAAGTGGGCCGATAGTGCTGTTTCTAGCCTGCGCTGCCATGCTACATACCAGATGAGCTGGCTCTGAGATCCCTTTCCATCCTACAATCACATTTTCTTTTGACTTCATGGATATATCCCTAATGATGGTTTCTGTCAAGGAACTAACAGAAATCAGTCATGATCCATTGAGATAACTTTATAAATCCAAATAACTCACTTGTTCAGGGTTTATTTCTCACTAGGCCTAACTTGGCCTTCCTCCTCATCAGAATGTGCAGTTACAATTGTAATACATTTGATGCTGGTTATCAATAGTATGTTGGATTTTACCTCCTGGTTTCTTTCCCTACTAGCAAAGTAAAACTCATTCCCTTTACAGACATAATATAGGTTACAAACTGACTGCAAGATAAAAAATGCCCAGAGTCTAATGAGGGACTATATTGTTCTATCATATTGTTCTACCCTGTGCTTAATCAAAATATTTGAATACATATATTTACATTGCAGATCTTTGGGACAATTGTATGGTCAATCCAGCCTTCAGAACAAGGCTTCAAATCCTTTCAGTTCATTCACTTTAGTTTATTCTACATTTAAGAAGCAAAAAATACTATAAGAGTGACTTGATTGGGCCATCAACTTTGCAGAGGAGAGGACCTTTTTACTACAAGTAGAAATTAGACAAAATTCTTGTATATCTCTTTTCTCAGGAGGTGCTGCTCATCCACAGTGTGGTTCCATGCTACATAATAAAGGCAGCAGCAGGTTATTATTAGGGTGCCAGTGGTTGAAAATAGCAAGTTACTCAGGATGGGAGAGAGCTGTAAAACTAAAATTAGATGAACTGACTTTTGGCATTTTTATAAGTAACATTCTCCTGCCATAAATGGTTGATAAAATCATGATGAATGATTATTTGCTGCTGTACTCACTATTCAGTGAGGGCCAAATGCTGCGTTCATTGACTTGCTATATGCCAGATGCACTGTGTGCCCTTGTTTGGTGGATCTTCACAGAATCACAGAATCAGTTAAGTTTGAAAAGACTCTGAGATCATCAAGTCTGACCTGTGACTGAAGATCCCCATGTCAACCAGACCATGGCACCAAATGCCACGTCCAGTCTTTTCTTTAACACCTCTGGGGACAATAACTCCACCACCTTCCTGGGCAGCCCATTCCAATGTCTAGTCATGCTTGAATGCAAAGCAATTCCTCCTAATGATCACCTAAATCTCCCCTGGCACAGCTTGAGACTGTCATACTGTCATTGGTTGCCTGGGAGAAGAGACCAACCCCCACCTACCTACAGCCTCTCTTCAGATACCTGTAGGGAGCAATAAGGTTTCCCTGAGCTTCCTTTTCTCAAGGCTAAACAACCCCAGCTACCTCACAGTCTCCTCATAGGACTTGTGCTACAGGGCCTTCATCAGCTTTGTTGCCTTTCTCTTCATTGCTAATGTTAAGTTCTGATGCTTTCCAGGTATAAACCATGGACCTGTAATAGCTGGAGTAATTGGAGCTCAAAAACCACAATATGATATATGGGGCAACACAGTAAATGTGGCCAGCAGGATGGACAGCACTGGTGTCTTAGATAAAATACAGGTAAGCCTTGATTTTGTGCTAGTGGGCTTCTACCTAAAATGGCAGAATGGCCTAAAGTTTGTTCACGGACAGTTATGTGAGAAACTGGCAACAGCAGCTCCAAAAGGTGATGTTAACCATTACCTTACCATCACTTCACCTTCACCTTTTACACGACCTTAGTAGTTGTAGAATGATGGGGAAGCTTGGGTCTACTCAAGGGAAAATAAGCTCCTGAAGATGAGGAAAGTGCTATGTGAGGAAGGGTATTGTCCCTAGTTCCATTATCTATCTACAAGCTCTCTGCTTGGCAACCCTGGGTACAGATGTGGTTACACCAAATTTGATTCTTGATGTAAGCAATTAGAATGGGCATCCAAGCAACAGACTGCTTGAAACCTTAGGTGTTAAACCTCACCTGAGACCCTTAAAGGCCTTATGAGCATTACAGCAAATCCCTTAAAAATGAAGATAACATTATGTTATCTTCACACTCTGGAAGAAGGTTCTGCTCTGCTTTGTTATCAACACTGGCTGTATTACTGTATTGTTGCAGGTTACAGAGGAGACAAACAACGTCCTGCAAACACTGGGGTACATGAGCACCTGCAGAGGAATAATAAATGTAAAAGGAAAAGGAGAACTGAAGACATACTTTGTACACACAGAAATGACAAGATCCCTTTCACAAGGGAATGTGGCATCTTGAAGATGCTTGTATGTGTCATCAATACCATATTTTCAGGAAAGTATCACGCACTTTTTAACTACATTTTGGCCCTTAACATGCGTGCTATTTTCTGGTATGTGGCACTTATTTTAATATGGCTGCAGAATAGTCCCATGAGCCATCATTTTGCACCTTGATATTTCTATGTTCAAGGACAGTTGTGATGTACGCTATAGGACTGGAAGATTGTACTGCTACTTGCACTGTTATTCAAAGACAAGAAAAGAAGGAATAGGAATCAAAAGAAGGTAATGCATCCTGAAAGGACTAAAGAGAAGTGTTAATGACAAATGTGGGGAAAAAGGCAATAAAGCTAGGGGTGCATACTATTTTCTGATGCATGGTGTTTTCGGGAAAATACAGTCGCTCCCCAATAGCATCCACTAATCTGGTATTAAAGTATACAGTATTGTAAATAAGTTTACTTTGTCCACACATGATTTGGATGTGATCACCAGTTGCATCTCATAGCCAGGGACACGTTGGGTGGTTTGCTGGCATTCTTTCTGAAGAGAGAACTAACAATGCTGGAATAGTTTTGTACAAACGTGTCAAATGTTTTGAAGCTATTGTCTTTTGTAAGGTTAATTCATTAAAAGTTTATATGTACTTTGTCTTACTGTTGCTGCCTCTTAGTTTTGCTTCCTTCCTTGGCTTCTGTCACTCTACAGCTGCGTGTTTTCTGCTGCTGCCACTGCTTTTTATTCAGCAGTTAGATGTTGAGGCAGGCTATGGCCAGCTATCTCAACAGCCTTGGTCAATAATATCTGCTAGACTTGCTATTGCCTTTCAGAAACTAAATCACCTCTACTGTCTTCAGTCATGGGTGGCATCCTAGGCACTTTGCAGTCACTTACTACCTAGGTGATACAGAAGACTGACCTCAAATCCATAAACACAAGCAAAGTGGGGTATACTGAAAACAGTAGCAGTGCTGCTACTTAACACCTGGCCCTCAGTGCTTAAACAGTAATAAGGAGAAGCTGTTCAAAAGAAGAAAAAGTTCTGTTTTGCACTTTGACAATCTCTTTTGCCCTGGCATCCCTTTCATTTAACCTTCACAATGGTGGATTCTGTGGGATATTTAAAGTAATAATCTCATTTATCAATAAAGTAATAATTTAATTTATACTCACTAGGACATGAGTATGAGTAAAATGTTATTTTGTGGATATGTGAGATTATTTTAAATCCCTTTGAATTAAAAATTATCGCACCTGCAGAGTTTCATAGATGAGCCAGGTGAAAGACAGTAAAAGTAGGTAATTTTACTGTCTATGCTCCTTTGAAGTACAGATAGTAACAATTAAGTTTTTTGTTGTTGCAATCAATTATTTTAGTCATAGCATTCCAACAAGAAAATAATACTATTTACAAAATAGCATATAATTACAATTTTTTTTTCTGAGTCATACTGTATCAACATGGAAGTCAACTTATGCACTGTTATCTCTAGCATGTTATTGAAATGCAAAAAGTATTCAGACTGCTCATTCATGAAACATACTTATACATTTGTATAGCATTGGTATCCTTTCTAAGTTCTCAAAATTGTCGGTCACAAATACATGGCATCAGTCCAGTCTCACTGAATGTGGCACAGTTTACTCACAGCAGCCATCTGCCCACTAGTGAATTGGAATGACAGTAGATTTCAAGGGCCTAATTTGCTGTAAAACAGACAATCTGAATGTTGATCCCCTTAAGTAAGTCCAAAAGCAAAATGTAAGTTATTTCAGTTACGTTTGACATAACACACTTAATTTTTCATCCAGTCCTGGAGACTTTTAAACGGTAATTTTCAAGACAGGTGCTCAGTCTAATAAAATCTCATGAAAAAATATTTTTGCTGTCTTTATGATTTCTTCCTTTTCATTAATAAGTTAAGATAAATGTTTTCCAGTAGAATTAAAGACTTTCCAAATAGCTCACGTGGCCGCAAACCCAATGTCCCAGTCATTGGTTAGCTGTCAGTTAGCTATGTCACATAAGACTTCTCCTAAATCCCTCCTCACCACTTACTATAAATTTGTCCTAGGAAACTGAAATAAGTTATTGATCTCCTTCTTAGCATTGAATGTACTCTGGGCCTTTAAAATCACTGTGGTATTACCACAGGTCAACGCAATAATTTCTCACTGTGGATGAAAACCCTTATGTAAAGTTGATTCTATTATATTGTCATATATATGTGCAGCCTGTGCATTCAGGATTTTGCTTTCATTTGTATTCTTGCTCATCATTAACAAACCTTGTACCTAACTCCATAGCCTTCTTTCTATGATTTTTATAAAAGTTAAACTTACTATTTCTGTAAGCTGTGAAATGTTAAAACATCTGAATGTTGGGGAGCTGACTAGTCCAATGAAATATATGAAAGAAAGGTGTATTATGTGCCCTCCAAGAGCATGTTGAAAATGCCCATGTTCAAAGCACTCATATTTCACTGGTGTTCTTCTCTCATTTTGTAATTGCATTTAGATTCTTGCAGCCAAATCCTGCTAAAGAACAAGAAAGTGGGCAAAAGATACACGTATCTTTGCCCAGACAAAGAAAGGTGCATACCATCCTCTCTAGCCTTCAGTTGCTGAGTATTACTATCTTTCTAGTGCTGAGAAGCTATTTGTATTTAATAAATACCTCTTGTCTTCCAATGCATTTTACATCTACTGTTTATATTGCCTCATTTTTCCGCTGTCTAGTTACACTTAAGAAAAGAACTTTATTTCCTCCTCCTGCAGCAATTTCAGCCTCAGTAACTGGATATAACACTACTCATGTATCAGTCCATAACCTGAAAAACTTTATGATAATGATGTAAATTAGTATTTGACATTCCACATATTCCACATCACAGTAAGAGTCATAAGTTCTGCAACTTCCATGTTGGTGACATAATTCACAGCTCCTTAGTGAACCACGGAGTGGGACTTCCAAAAGTACAATGCAAATGCATTTCACACTGTGAGCCAGCAGCCAGAAGATCAATGTAAGAGTGATTCACTGTGGTCTGGGAAAAAGAGAATCAAAGGGGAACACCTGGTAAGCCTGCTGGAATTCTTTTTCAAAGTCAGTGCTTTGCTCCAATTTATGGAGGGCTACTAAACGACAGGAAGAAAGATTAGACTTGCAGATGTTTTTATAAACTATGGAAATAGTTTATATTACCTGTAAATTATTGCTATTTTGCTGCTGTTTCTAAAGAGTACTATATGTGCTATATGAATAGACATTTATGCTATATGAAAAGCATTTTTCATTTTCTTATATTCATATATGCTTCCTCCATTTTGTAAAATATCTACAAATCTTCCCTTTTTCCACTGAGACACAGGTAGTTCAGTCTGCTTGTCTCTAAAGTGATGTGAGGGAAGAGCTGTTGCAAGTCTTTCCTGTTTTGTTTCTAGAACCTCATACTGGGATAAATAATAAGCTATGTTTTTGAGAAGCTTTATATAGCAGAAGATGTACTGTTAGATGATATTATTATCTTGTACTTTAATACAGAGTTTTCCTTCTTGTTGTGATTATATATGAACATACACTGATTTTTAATTTTCAGATAGCAGATTCTAGGTGTAGATAGTACCCTTCAAGACTTTTTACAGGTGAATACCAAACAATTTTAAGTCTAGAGATTTCTTGGTTTATTCTTCATTTTTTGTCTACATTAGTGGAGTGATTCTGAGAAAATGTAGAATGAGATGTATGTGCCTTAAATAAAATATGTAACTAAAAGACCATTTTTTGTTCTTTGAAGTAATTCGGATTTGTGTGGATTTGTCAAAAGCAGTATATAAACCAACTATCACTAGTTCAACCTAAAGCTTGCTACATATTAATTTTAAGCATTTTCAAATTTAGAAGCAGGAATTATTCAGGTCACTGTAATTTTTGACATGTCAAATGCATGATAAGGGCATTTTATTAATGTTTGCAGCTATGAAGATATGAACCCCTTTATGTTATAGGATGCCCTGTTTAAAACAAAGATTGTGCCAAGAATTGTTAGAAAGTTTTTGGATGGAGAATTTTTCAAATCTATTTGTAGCTATTGAGATGCTCTTTATGAAAATTTCAGTTTTGACAGGAAACAAATGCATGTGAAGTATTTCTAAAGGTTGATATTTCTGGGATAGAATTTTTCACGTTTGATTCCAAAAAAGCGTTACAAATAGCAATTTTTATGAAAGTTATGTCACCTCATGTATAAAAATGTATACTACTTTACTTACCAAGAGAGTTATTGAACAGAATATTGATCTGAATTGGAGCATTTATCAGTCAGCTATATTGGCTTGTGTGGCAAGGTTTTGCTAGCAAGGAGAAGGGGACAGGGCTGCAGGGGTGGTCTCCATGAGAAGCTGCCAGAAACTTCCCCCATGTCCAACAGAGCCAATGCCAGAAAACTCCAAGACCAACCCACCATTGGCCAAATTGAGCCCATCAACAACAGCTCTGAAATAACATATTTAAGAAGAGATAAAAAATGCAGCAGAAACAGCAGCTGAAGAGAGGGAACATCTCTGGAAATACAGGAGCAGCAAGGAAGGACGAGGAGGAGATGTTCCAGGCAGTGGAGCAGAGATTCCCCTGCAGCCTGTGGTGCAAACAGTCATCAGGCAGCTGTGTCCCTGCAGCCCTTGGAGGTGCATGGTGCAGCAGAGATCCATCCACCTGCTGCCCATGGACAACCCCACACTGGACCAGGTGGATGTCCCAAAGAGGCTGTGACCCCGTGGGAAATCTGTGCTGGAGGAGGCTCCTGACAGGACCTGTGAGCCCATGGAGAGAGAGGCCAGTGCTATAGCAGGTTTGCTGACAGGACTTGTGAGCCCATGGGGAGCCTGCACTGGAGCAGCCTGTTCAGAAGGACTGAACCCCAAGACAGGGATCCACGCTGGAGGATTCATGACAATCTACAGACTGTGAGAAGAATTCACATGGGAGAAGTTCTTGGAGAAGTGTCTCCTGTGGGATGGATGCAATGCTCCTGAAGAGCCTTCCCGTTTGAGGTGGGCATTCAGTCAGTAATTAGGATCTAGAAGAAACAAGCACTTCTGTGAAACAACTGGCTTGACCCAGCTATGGAAGCTATGGAAGTAGAAGGGGGACAGGTTTTGAGCCATTTTTGTTTCAGCCTCTTTTAAGGGCCATTGAATGAAACATATTTGGCAAAGACTGTCTCCCCTTCATGGCTCCGCTGAAGGTCAGGGCCACATGGCAAACTGATACATGTTGAAGTCAAAGAGCTAGGACAGGAGACGGCTTGCTAAGCCTTAATTTGACAGCAGGCTGTCATCTCGGCTCTAAGTGACATAAGGCTAAAACAAGTACCTCAGCTTGTAGAAAGAAAACAGCTACTATTTTTTTTCTGTGTATCAATGCCCTGTCCAGTCCAGTTATATATCACCTTGTCACCTGTCCTCTTGTGTCCATCCTGCCTCCCTTCCCTGTTGTCTCTCTTGAGTCTCCTTTCCCTGCCTCCATTATTATTTGTTCAATATTCCTTTTAGGAAGTTTTTTCAGAGTTATTCTGCAAAACAGTTTGACATTTCAGATCAGTGACCCTGCCGTTGAGACATGCTATTGCTATAAAAGTACACACCAACATCTTCAAAACTCAGACACCTTAGCAGTGGAACCTGAGGAGGTATTATTACGCTCCAAAAGGGCAAGCAATTGAACTTCTCATCCTTAAGACACCAAATTTAAAGCAACTTTTAACACTTTGGTCTCTTAGCTCAGCTGTATTTGAATGCATAGTTTTCACCATATAGACTAAATTTGCTCCATTGTTTACATGTTCATATAGAAGTTACTAAGGAAAGACACTGACCTTCCATGCTATTTTAGAACACAAACATACAATTAACACTAGCATATTAATAAAGTCTGGTGGCAACTGGGACAAACCTCCCTGGGCAGTCATACCCTGCTTCTGGAGAGTCTGCAAAAGGTGACTAGGAAGAAAAGCCTTTGTAAGTTTAAAATAATTCTAAAAGGATTTATACCTTCACTGGGAAGGAAAAATTAAGTGAAAAGCATCCTTTTTAATTGTTTCAAATGGGGGGGTGAGGTTGGTATGGAAAATCTGTAACAAGCACTTAGCAATATTTGTGACAATCTTTATTGCATCTACATGCTATAATTCAATTTAATTCCATCAATTTAATGTTAATAAAAACGAGCTACATGAGAACAGTAGAAAGAGAACGGGAGAGAAATCTTTCAGATCTGACTTCAGAGCTCTTGCCTAGCTTAGTTGGTATCTGGTGAACAGTTTCTTATGGCTCTATTTATAGCTGCAGTTTCAGCTGAGTTGCTTTTTATAAATGGGCTTGCTATCTCTCTGTGCTCGGACTAAACTACAGAAAAGCACTTGCACAGTGGCAAGCAGGTCTCTGCTTAGGAAGCTGATGCAAGGCAGCTGTTGGATTTTCAATTCCACTGCTCGCTTACACTGTGCTAATTTGTCCCATGCTACAGAAAGAACAGGATCTTAATTGGTAGAGGGACATTATTAGATAAGCAGATGGAAATTGTCACAAATGATCAAAAAAACCACCCACACCAATCTGCAGATTACAAAGCTTCCATGCTACACTTGCAAAGAAGCTGAAGTCTGTGTAATTCAGTGGATTTATAAAGGGAGAGTGGCAGCTACATAATAGGGATGAGACATTTGTAGGCCTGAATTATTGCCTGGCTCCAAGATGCCTGAAACAATCAGTTGTGAAGATTTCTAGTACTCTGAAAGTTGGGGGATTTAAAATAAATTTTGGATGTTTGGTAAAATTCAAGATGCCTGGGAGAGCACTGTTATGAAAGTGTTTACCAAAAGATACTGGTAGCATTAATAACAGTAATGCTGTGCCTACAGGATAGTAGCTCTACACCTGTGGTTACAGACAACAAAGGTAAACTAAACCAAGCCACTCGCAGATCCCTAAGGACCACAGAAGAAGCAGCATGAGCATAGTTAGATGTATTAAACCAGGATAACCATGGGGTGAATATCAAAACTAGGAGCCAGGTGGTGCTAGGGCAGAGCAGTTTTACAGTTAGTCTGGGATTTATACACAGAAGATTTATTTTCAGTGTTCCCAACACAAGTAATATATGAGAGTAAATATATGAGAGCATTTTCCAACTGCATTGCCTGAAATGGCTGAGCATCCTATGCTGGATTCTGCACCTGGCATGGGTCAACCCTGGATGTAGGTACAACCCAGGTAATGAGATGCTGGAAAGCAGTGCCATGGAAAGGGACCTGGTAGTCCTGGTGGCTGTCAAGTTGAACGTCAGACAGCAGTGCCCTGGCAGCCAGGAGGGCCAACGCTGTCCTGGGGGGCATCAGGCACAGCATGGCCAGTGGGCAAGGGAGGGGATTGTCCTGCTCTGCTCTGCACTGGGGCAGCCTCATCTCAAGTCCTATGTTCAGGTTTGGGTGCCAGAATTTCAGAAGGCCATTAAGCTGTTACAGAGCATCCAGAGGATGGCAACAAAGATGGTGAAGGGTCTGGAGGGCAAGTCATATGAGGAGCAGCTGAGGTCACTTGGTCTGTTCAGCCCGGAGGAGACTGAAGGGAGACCTCATTGCAGTTACAGCTTCCTTATGAAGGGAAGAGGAGGGACGGACACTGATCTCTTCTCTGTGGTGACCAGTGACAGGACCTAAGGGAAGACCCTGAAGCTCAGTCTGGGGAGGTTTAGGTAGGATATATGGACAAAGGTTCTTCACCCAGAGGGTGGCTGGGCACTGGAAAAGGCTCCGCAAGGAAGTGGTCACAGCACCAAGCCTGACAGAGTTCAAGAAGCGTGTGAAAGCCTCTGCCCGAGTAGGTGAGCTGCTATCCAAAGAGAGAAGCCCAAGGTCCTCATGACACTGCTCCTTATTCTGGTGGAAATTCCATGCTGTGGTGTGGTTTTATTCAATGCACCCACTTAGAGGGGAATTTGGGGCCTAGTGCAAGCTGTCACAGAAAAAAAGTCAGTGCCGTTCAGCTAAGCTTTGCACTAACTTTCGTCTCCAGCTTCCAAGGACACAAAGGACCAGGGAGCTGGAGTCGCTGCACAAGAACTGAGACCAAAACTTCACTACGGGTGTCCAGGAACTCACAGCTCAGGCTTGACAGAGCTCTGCGGAAGGCCCCGAGTCCCCGAGCACCGGAGCCCATCGGCGCCCGGGGCCGGTTCCTGCCGGGCTGCCCGGGCCGCGGTGCCTGCGGGCGTTGCCGGGTAACGGCGGCGGGGGCAGCATGGCCGCCAGCGGGACGCGCTTGGCGCAGGAGGCGCTCGGCAACGCGCCGGGGAGGAAACGGCCTGCCCTCGCCTCCTTCTCCGCCTTCAGCTTCGTCCCGCCCAAACGGGAAGGGCCTCCGGAGCTCAGCTATTACAGCCGGCCGCACAAGGTGAGGGAGTGAAGGGAGCGAGCCGGGAGAGGCGGGGAGCAGCGCAGGGCGGAGGGACGAGGTTTCCCGTGGGTCTCTGCGCGGTGCTTGGACCCTCTGCTTGGACCCGGTGCAAAGCTCGGCCCTCATCATGAGCGACCTGGTCAGACAGGTGCCAAAAATCGTCGTAGCGTCATAGAATGGTTTGGGTTGGAAGGGACCTTAAAGATCATCCAGTTCCAGCCCCCTGCTATGGGCAGGGACACCTTCCACTAGACCAGGTCCAATCCAACCTGGCCTTGAACACCTCCAGGGGTGAGGCATCCACAGCTTCTCTGGACAACGTGTTCTAGTTCCTCATCACATTCACAGTGAAGAATTTTTTTTTTTCTGATACAGAAATGTGAGACATAAATCTCTATTACTAGGCTATCTAATGCCAAAATAACAAGTTTCACCATCAGAGGCCTTTGCAAAGTGTATTTGCTACTTGTGGATGGTCATTGAGGGTAAGGTCTTTCAAGATAACTGGATAACAACAAAAGGCAGAGACACTGTCTCCCAAGGACTGAGGATGAACAGGCCACTTGTTGGTGTCAATGAAATATGAGGCATTTTTAGGAGGAACACTAGGAAAGGCATTATCTGTCACTAGGGTTTGCTGCAGGACCAGTGGATTTTATTGTAACACACACTCTTGGGAACCCTTTAATAAGAAACTTGCCCATTCTCATTTGAGGGAAAGGATTTTCCATGAGCATTGCATAAATTTTCTGCATGATCAGCTTTAATAAACTCACTAGAGCTACTCAAAACAATAACATCAATATATGCCTCTGTGGCTGAAAGCTGCTGAAGGTGGTACAGTGCCACTCAACATGTGGTAACTCAAGTGCGCTGGCAGGGAGCCTCACTCCTCACTCTGCTGCATTATGTCACCATTGCTCCTCATTCTGTCCTCATATTTAAAACCAGAAATGAAAACAATCTTACACCTTCTGCCTCAGCTGAGCTACAGTTCCTGGGTGGTGAAATTTTCTATGAAGTGTCATAGGAGACATTGAAGTTAGCAAGCTTTTTTCTAAAAAAAAAAAAAAAAAAAAAAAAAAAAAATAAAAAGTTCTGAAATGCCTATTAGTTCAATGTAACATAGCAATGCTGTGGCAATTTATAATGCTAAATACAACCCGTGAGTCCTCTCCTCACCCAAGTGACAAGCTGTTGAATGCACCAAGCACCTGGCACCACTGACTGGTGGTTTGTGAGTTTGCAGGTCCTGTGTCCCTGGGATGTGGGCAGCGTACAGATCAGAGCACTGTGCTGGGTTTTGAATGAACAGCAAATTTCCTGCACTGACCTGGTGGCCCTGCTAAAAGACAAGAAGATTTCTCTTGTGACTCTTTTGTGTTGATTCCAGCATTACCTTGGCAAGGTGATCTGACCCAAAGGTCAGCAGGCACAGTTGGTGCCGTGCTTCACAAAAGAGTAGGGAGAGCACAACAAGAGTAAGGTAAGGGCAGGTAGAGGGCTGGCATGGTGCTCTTGGAGCTGGTGAGCTCACCAGTCTACGCAGAATTAGCAGCCGTATGGTAGAGCTTTTCCTTGCAATGTAGTCTGCTTTCACACTCACAAAGGCCTGGTTTGGGAAAAAAGCTGTTCCAGTGGCATGGAAACAAAAAGTGATAACAGCTGTTTAATAGGATTCTTCACAGCCCAGGCCTTGGCCACAGGGGAGGAAACAGATTCAATCCATTCTTCTGAAAAATTTAGGAATTAGATAATTTGAATATTTTTTATTTATAGAGCCAAAGGAATCTCATTCCTTTTTGCAGCTTAAATACCTAAAACCAACCATGTATCAGAGACTGAAGCAGAGAGAAGTAGGAAGAAGATGGGCTCATTGCATGGCCAGAAGCCAGAAATTCCTGCCTTTTAATCCCTTGGCTGACAGTTGCTCCCTGGATTGCTTTACATAAGTTACTGTAGCCAGTGTGTCTGGTGTTTCCTCTTCTGAGATGTGGAGAAAGCTATTACCTATTTTATGTGTGTCTGGAATACTAATGAATGCTTGCAAAGCATTTAGCTTTAGCAGCAGTACACAGAGGATGCCTACCCTGAGTGCACATTTATCATCAGCTCTGTGTGACTCACTTGCTCTGGTGGGTTTAAGAAACAGCTTGCCACCACCACCACCCAGGCCAACCAAGTTATCATTTACAACAAAGAGAAACAGCAGCAGAAAGTTATCAGTTTATTGAGCAAAGAAGTGTTGTCTCTAAAATCTGGCATAAAATCCTAAACAGACATCTGGGACAGAGCTAGTTTTTGATATAACAGGCTGGCTGACTGTCTGCAAGTTCCAGAAAAGATGCTCTGACATGAGCAACAAATGACACTTTCTTAGTCTGAAACAAGTAACAAATAATGCCATATGAATACCAGCAAAGAGTAAACAACATTTCTGGTGGTGAGTACAAATTAAATGTCTGCTGAATGAAACTGGTAGTGTGGGGAAGAAAGGAGAAGCAAGGAAGCATGGAAATAATTGTGGAGATGACAAATCATGTGCAGGGTGCTCTTGAACATGCCTGAAATCCTTTGAAGCTCAACGGTTTGTGAGAAGTGAAGGGGTGGATAGGTTAAATACAAAATAATCTCTCCTCATGGCAGAACCAAGTATTGGAGATACCTTTACAAACAAAGCCTGAAATTACAGCAGTGTCTCACTAGTGCTCTTAACTATGGTTTCCTTTTAATGGAACTATTATAACCTTCTTGACCTGCCATGACTTGACTATATTTGGAGAATACCACTGTAATTTGAAAATCTCAAAGTACGTGAGATTTTCAAAGGTTAAATTTGACACACTGTAAAATTAGAGGACAAAAAAAGCCCAACAAAATGCACCATTCTTTTAGTCAGCCATGCACAAAGCCAATGATGATTGACATTTTTAACAGAATATTGACCCTTAATGAAGTTCAGTAACAACTGACAGCTTATTTCAGTAGGGGATTTTCTTTTTATTTTTTTTCTTTGAAAAGTTTTTTTTAGTTTTGAAATTGCTTTGATTCCATTTATGAGAACTTCTTGACTGGATTTCACAAACACCTTTGTTAGAAGAGCAGATCCTTTATGTTGCTTATTTGGATGAAAACTATGTCAACAGTTGAACAACAATAGTATGGCTTGGCTTTATTTTAATGCCTGAAATATGTGTGTCATGCATACCACTGGATCACAGGATTACCTCTGTGGCACATTTCTCAATTCTGCTCTAAGCAGAAATTAAATTATGTTTACAGTGCAGGGTGCCTTTGTCTGTTTGAAAGTTCCTGTTTTGCTTTTACATAATTGTGCCAGATAATTTGACAAATACACACATTTAGGAAGGAGAATATTAACTACAGAAAATTAAATCAGATCAGATCAATTTCCAAAATTACAACAGATTATGGGGGGGGGGAAGAAGCAAATTGCCACAAGAGAAATTTCAGAGCTGAACAACTTAATAAATGGTACCGCATGTCATTAGGTAATTTTGCAAACTATTCAAAAGGACTGGCCCAAACTTCCTAATGAAGTCAGTAATACTACAGTTGTCATCATCTAATGCAATACATGCACTATTTAGGTATTGATTTAACTACGTGTGTTCTGTAATCTGTAAAGTAAAACAGTTACGTGAATTAGCCATTTTTTCCCTTTTTTCAAGACAGGAGATTTTTTCACCTATGATGCTGTTTTTGGAATACCAGAAGGTTACGACCAATATCTTCCACGATGTGACAGAAAACACGCAAAGGCTCGTGACCTTAAAATTAATGAGGAGGTAACCCTTTGATAAATTCATAATTATGTTTGTTTCAGGTGTTTTGTACTATTGGCCATGACTGGACGCTCTAGGCATTGTTTTACCCTTTACAAAGTAGCCCATACTGTAAGAAAGGAACTGGAAGGAGGACATCAGCCTGCAGGTTTAGGAGAAAGCATTATCCCATGAAGACACCCAAATTAGCTCTTGCTCTTTCATATCCTGAAGATTTCCAGGTGACAAGACATATGCAAGTTAAAGCTAGGGGGAAGAGGCAAATTCTCTCTTGCAGAGTGCAGGGTGTACTCTGAACCATCTGTGCCCCTCAAGAGTTGTACTTCAGGTGGTTCTGCAGTTATTTCTGTGGTGCTTAAAAACTGTTTTCCCTGAGAGGGCTGGATTCAGAGGCAATGACTTCACTACTGTCCTCTGACACCCACCCTCTCTACACCAGCATTTGTTGTGAAAGCCCATCTCTGAAGCTGGTGAGTTTATTAGGAAAACCTACACCAGATTGCCCTGCAGGGAGGAAATTCATAGGGAGCTAGTGCAAAGGTGTGGTCAATCAGAACACGTGGGCATGCCTGGGAGAGGATGGGCAAGTATTTGAGGCCAGCAGAATCTGGGTTTGATGTGCAGCTCAACAGGTAAATACTCCCTTGGGAACAGAAATACTGTAGTATATATGCATAAATGTATGTGGATGTATTTTTGCATGCAACAAAAATAATAATACACATATATACAACCGTCTGTGTATGTAATTATATTTGTGCATACACACACAAAACTGCACACAGAGGCAGAGGCTGTCAAAAGCCAAATGAAGTGTAACCTCTGTGTACTAATGACCTCAAAATCCCAATGAGTTCATGGGATATTAGAGTGATGGGTAGGCTAGGGATGTAGGGATGGCTGCCTGATTTGATGGTTATAGAGAAGGAAGAAGGAAGAGTGACACAAGAGTTCAAATTACTCTAATTTTGGTGCAATAAAATTGTTTTTTTCTGACAAAGCCCACTGCTTGGGATTCATCTCACTAGCAGTTATATATGCCAGACATTTCTGTGCAAGTGTGTAGCCATAATGCCCTTCAACTCTGATATCAGTGCAGGAAGCATTAGATGCTCCCAAAGGAATCCCAGGAGTGCCCATTAGCATCACCTGCTCATGCCTAATAACTCAACTGCAAATCTGTGTATCTGTGTGAATGACTACTCCAATTAGAAATTAAGCTTTTTATTTAAACAAAACAAAGACAACCTCTCTCCCCTAGTACCAAGCATATTTTTCAAGTGGGGAATTTGTGTAGAAAGTTCATCAATATAAAGTTACAGCTTTTTACTGAGCTCTTGTATCAGCAAAACTCACTTTCCTATTGGCTTTCTTCCTAGAGCAAACTTGTATGGACCAGAATTCATACCAGCTGTGCTGGGCAGTGCAGACATGGGACTGTCCAAACAGGTGTCCCTTAATCCAGCCCTTTAATTAGCATGGATATACATCAAACCCACAGTTATTTGATACTACAGCGCGATCCTCCTGCATGTCATGACACCCAACACTGTAACCATAACTAAGTGCAGATCACATACTCAATTCATCTTTATCACAGTGGCCCTCTCAGGCTTTATGTAATAATAACTAAATTATAAAATTTAATAAATAAAAATATCACAATTGACATCTTTTTAGTTCAACACTGAACACAGACAGACTGAACTCACCCCAGTACACTGCTTTACTTGAGCTGGAAAAAAAGCAAACCACTGCAAGTAAGCCCCTCATTTCCTGAAGGTAACCTGGGTGCACCCAGGAATTCAAGAGTACAGTGACAGATACTCGGTTTAGCTACATGCAGCTGAATAACTGCAGTGGAGTATGTGCTCAGGGCTGCCGTTGCTGATTGCAAGTGCTAACAGTGCTAGAATTACACACTGCGAGGGCGGGCAGCAGGATGCTTCCCAGCCAACTGTTGGAAAATCTGAAACCCACTGAATGCCAAACCCACAAAGATGAAATGCCAGTGTGCACAGTCAGTGCTGTGCTACCAAGGATGCCGAAAACTGATTTTAAATAAACTTATTTATTTAAAAGGAACATAAACTATTGGAAATACATACTGCTGCCTGTCATTAGCACTGTAAACCCTGAATTTCTAGCCAAGTCTTTCTTGATGGTACAAAGATTTTTTAGTTTCTCACTTTTCAGCATTTATCCACAACTAGGGCAGGGGAGGAAATTATCTTAATTTTGCCTGCCACTCTTCTTGACTTGATTTTCATTCTGCTGGGGTTAAAAGTTGGTGTACTGAATAGCTTTTAATAGGGTGGAGTAAGGTGGGCAGGAGAACTGGGAGATAAATGGTTGTTTTGAAAATGAGATTTTGTATTGAGTGGGTTAGTTAGTTAGTTAGTTAGTTTGTTTGTTTGTTTGTTTGTGAAAAGTGTTTACAGCATCTTTCCAAGAACATCAGGTTCTGTCCATAAGGCTGGAAATGTCTCTTAGGTGACTGCCCTGCTATGAGATCCTGCCAGTCTGTGCTCCTACCCTCATCCTTGCAGGACCGAAGTGCTGATTTGCTCAGGCTTGTGTCTGTTGCAGCAAAGAAGTAATTTGCTTGCACTCGAACTATAGTGTAGCATCTGCATTTTGATTTGCCTTTTAGATGCTATGTATAAGACTAGAAAAACACATTGCAGACCAAGGCTTACTGTGTTAGTCAGTGTGCAAACATACAAGCAGCCTGATAAAGCTGAGACCTTTGGCTAGGGAAAGAAAAACAAACAAATCTTGTCTTCTGACGCTGTAGCTCCCTGTTGCTCTAACACAGGAAGGAACTGCAGATTGCAGATAGTGATTGCACAGTCACTTAAAGTGCAGCTTACTAAGAACAAGCTCAAAATCTTTTCTTGGTCAGGTTGTTTTTCATCAAGTCCGCTTTCCATCATGGCAAAGCAGTTATTTCTGTAATCTTACAGCTACAAGTATTTTTAGTAAAACGTTTCATTGTGCAGAAATAAAGTAGTATATGCTTTATTTCCTTCAGGGAAAGCTTGCATGGACTAGTGGTTGCTCAGGGTTTTTCTTTAGGCTTTGATTTTTTTTCACACTGTGCTTTCAACTGAATTGTGCAAGCAGGGTAGGTATTCCTCTAACAGGGGGCACAAATCTCTCCTATTTTCAAAAGAATCATGCAACTCAGTGCACAATAAAAATAAAATCTGTGCTTTTCTAGCATTTAGTTACCCAGTAATCACATGGTAATCACATGTGTTTGTATGTATTTGTGTAAAAAAATTATCAGTCCACAACTCCATATCTTATCATCTTGTCATCTAGTGACACATTCATGTTTTACTCAGATAAAAATAACATGAAAAACTAGGGCAGGGATAGAACAGTAAGGGTGCTAAACAAATACTAAACATGCTAAACATGCACACTGCAGATGCTGTACAGTTCTGTCAGTTATTTTACCCATGGCCACAGCACATTTAGCAATAGAAAACTGCCATGTTTTCTATTCACCCTGTGATTTTCTTCTAAGGTGACTTTTGTGTTTTCACAGGAAATGGCAAGACCTGTTCCTGTGCTTACATCTTCAGAGTATGGGAAGCGCTTACATATGCTCTTAGACCCAGCAACCGGAGAGCATGCAAGGGTTAATAGCGTGCACGCAGCAATCTACGGGGAAGGCAGCCGCCCTGCTCATTGAAAAAACCTTCTCCAGGCCTGGATCCCTGGGTAATCTCTTGTATCTGTCATTTCGAGCAACATTTATCTGGAGAACAACCTAACACTTTGAAAAGCAATACGGTGCTTTTGCCTTTTCCTCTACAGTTTATCTAATGAGAATTATCTGGATTAAAAATAGGGTGAAATAGCAGCTGCACTTTTTCTTATGCTAACTAAAATGCATGTCTTTTCCTTACATTGTCACAAAAATCTCATGAAGAGCAGCACCAACAAGAACTTTCAGAACATTTTAGGCAGCAATGCTGGGAATGGGATCTGCTGCGTCAAAAGCTGTGTCTGCAATCCTGGGCACTGCCTCTACATAACCATTTACAGACCTAACATTTGAAATAAGTTTGTCCATCAGGGTATCAGTAGTCACAGATTTTCCAATCCTTATAGAGTTGCTAGAGAATTAGGAGACATTGTTTTATGTACACAACAGCTGAAATGGATATTCAGCTCAGAATTTTCAAAAATGTATGGGCTTATGTGCTTAGCAGTTTCACTAGACTTCAAGTGGAACTCAAAAGGAACTTCTGAGCACTTGGCATTTGAAGAGACAAAATCTGGATTTAGCTGAATTCGGACATTCAATTCACTGACCCACTCTAGGAATGGCATCTGGCTGATTTAACAAGAAAAATCATCATTGGTTCTGTATCAAAGCTGAAATAAATGGGGAAAATACTAAGAATACTAGCAGAACAAGCACTAAATAATTTGGTGGAAAGGGTAAAAAAACCATAAGGATTTGAGCAGTAGCCATATAAAAAGCATGTTTAGCACAAATGTCTAAATCTGTTGAAACATTTGATGCCTTGTACTTTCACAGAAGCTAGTACTAAAATTTTAAGGTAATTTCGTAAGTTTTTCCTGCAGAGTATGCATCAGTTTGGTTCTCAAGAGCTGTTGATCCTGTTGTTGTTTAAGGCTGAGGCAGTATTGTTCAGAAAGGAACAGCCAAAGTGATCATACCAGAAAAAGGACTGGAAGTCTACAACTGTGACTGACACTGGTTTTGTCAGGTATTTAGACACAGGAAATCTGTGTCATTTGTAAATACAGTGAGACACCTAGTGGAAAGAAAAGAAAAAAAAAAAAGAAACAAAAATCTTCTAAATCTGGAACCTGAAAAAGTAGTAAATTAGGCAATCAATAGCACTTGTTTGACATGATGTGAGAAGCAGAGCACAGAGAGCAGCCCATTCTGAGAGATGTTACTTTCGTTATTCATGACCTGCAGTGCTTCTACACTCAATGGGCTATGGACAAAAGAACATTAATGGCTACATTCCTTTTCAAAAATAAACACTTCACTAAACAAATTCAGCAGCATTAAATGAATCATAGTAAGAACAAAGGGAGAAGGAAATGTTTTCTAATACCACAATGCTCTTCCAAAAATCGGTATCAAAGTTTACACTAGTGAAGAATGAGATTGAATATGGCCATATTCTTAGCAGGTTATTTTTACTTTGGGACAGTCAGTACAAATTGCTTTTTTGAAGTAGCCTTACTATATTTACAAACCATCTGTTTGAAAAACTATTGGAAATGAAATTTGTTTGAAAATACCACCACCTTCTGGCCTGTGTGAGAAATAGGCATCACTTCCACCACAGAGGAAGTCAAACATCAAAACACCAGTTTTTTTCCTAAATCATTTCTTTGCTTATCACACCCTTCTCATCCCTACTCACTTTTGAAGGTCTTTCACAGATTGATCTTCTCACTACTTGTTTCTCATTCAGTTCTGAATAATTCACTTCTTCCTTCAGTCCTCAGTGTCAAAAGAACACCCTGACAATTTCTTCTGTATTAGTGATAAGTTCTCATAAACGCTTGCAAAGCCATTTCAGCTCTTCTGAAATGGCTAGAATGACAAATTCTTAAGTTATTGATGTTCTGAGCTTACTTTACACATTGGAGAGCACCTTTTGGCCTTCCCTCACCTGTCAGTGTTGACATACTACTGTGAGGAAGAGTTTCATACATGCAAAAAATTAACACGGACAGAATGGACAGTGTATACAATGTAAAGCGTATTCTGGATTTTGTATCCAGTAATCTCCAGAGATTGTTGGGGCAATTGACAGACACCTGCAACTCACAAATTATAGGAAAGAAAAACTGGTCACATTCTGTATCTACTGGTGAAATATACAGAACATCAATGATGTGAAAGTTTCACCTTTTTTGTATCAAAACAACAGTGAAAATCAAACTAGGTAATGGTGGGAATTCTGCTTTGCTAGTCATAAATAGTAATTCTACACAGAGAGGAAGCACAAGCTAACAAGAAAATGCGTTACATGGCTGTTCATCAAGAATACATGATGTAATCAGCACTAAAGCTCTCCTGTTTTCTCTTCATCATCTGCAAAGCAATATACTGACCCAAGTTAGGGCACTTGTTCTGGCTAAAGTGGGTACTAGTTCTCAGTTGCAGAATTTCTGTTCATACATAAAAAATGGCTGCCATGAGCTTCAAAGCATAAGTTTCTGTAACTCAAAGGAACTCTGGAGTGCATACAGGACCCCATTTAGACAGTTTAGCTAAAACTGCCACCAAAGGCAACACCACAAACAGAATATGATGGGAACACTGGGTGGCCCCACAGAGACAGTTGTACAAGTCCATAGCCTGTGGCAGCTGTTACTTTACAAAGTAAAGCAAATCCTTTTTATTAAAAATCTTCTTATTTTCTGTAAGGCATTGCTATTTATTGAACAGCACTCTGCATCTCTTAAATAAAACCAATAAGCCAATACTGCTTCTGCAACTATTTCAAATTTTAGTTTTATGAAACACTTGGGAAATTATGCGAGCAGCGGTAAGTAAATTGCACAATTTCTTCTTATACTGTCAAGAAGAACCCTGATTAGTAGGTATTCTGTAGGCATATTCTGTACATCCAGACTGGCCAGTACCCTTCAACAGTCACACGTGGCTGTTTGCAGCTGTGAATTAGAACCAGTTAAAAATACAAGGGAAAAGCAGCACTGACTGTCTGGAACTTATATCTGTAAACTTGTAATAAATACTGAAGCAAATCTTAAGAAAATATGATGCTCTTTATTACTCTTTACATGTCAATTCCAAATATTGGAAGGTTTCACACTCAGAAGCTCACATTTTCTGAGGTGGAGTTACTCAGAAAAAAATAGTTTTTCTTCCATGCACAGAATTTACACTTTGTAGTATAGAAGGTCATCCTGTTATCCAGTAGTATCCTCCAGTGTCAGTTGCTGAGTCCATATGTACAAGGAAAGATTTTTTTGTGTAGATAATCCGCTATTTTTGTGGTATTTTGTAGATTTTCTATCTCAAAAAATGGAATCTGGAAACAAAACAGAAACAATTGCTGAAAATACCTTTTAATATACAATTGGGTAAGACTGCTGTTCATTAAGCAGATGCAAAACTACACATCAAATACTTATTTTGTTTTAAAACTAAGGATTTAATCCTAAATGTACTATTGATCTATAAATGACCTGAAGAGAAACTGAAGAGAAATTACTATTAAAAAAAAAAGAGTTATATTTATTACAGTTTAAACTAAGCTAAATATTATGGTGTTAGGCTTACATAATAAGTAATGATAAGTGGAAAATAAAATCTCAAGAAATGAACAGTTTTCATTCCAATTATGTTTCAAGAAAAATATACCTCTAATTATTCAATAGTCAAAATAAAGGTTATACTCTGTTGTGAAAATATTGTTTACAATACAAAACAACTTCTTTTTTTTTACTCCTCTTTTTAAACTCCAAACCTTTTAATAGAGTATTTGATTGAAAATTCCAATTCTAATGAACTCTTACATAACAATTTCTTTAATTCAAGATTTGAATCTTAATCACGGAAGAGAAGTACTCTTCCAAACAGCAACTATGTGGCAAAAAACACAGACAGAATACACTAATTGATTCAAGGAAGAAAAAGGTAATTCTGTACACCTTCAAAAAGGCAAAAACCAGGCAGAGAGAATGTAATATAGAGAGAACAAGACCACATCTACTTTAGGAATTAATTGAAACTACAATTTTAGGTATTGTAAAATAATTTTTTACTTGTTTTCTTAGAGCAAAACTAAATCACTGTCTTTGGACTTTACCTGCACAACTTCATAACCAAGTAACTGAAGATGTCTCTGTTTAATAGCTTCTTCTCCCAAGAGATTGTGACTATGAGCACAAAATCTATTTTGACCATCAACACACAGGGCAATTCTAAAATTAAGCATAAGTGTAATATCAAAAAAAAAAACCCAACAAACCCACAAAAATCAATTACTTTAATCACCACAACTACTGCAGTTCCTAAGAAGCAGGAGACAATACCTCCCTCTTACACCTCGTTGAATCAGATGTAGGATGGGAGTTATCTAGTTCAGGATAATTTACATCACTCAATTTAAGGGTGGGAGGTGAAACCCTGAAACTTAGTGAATCTGAAAAGCTTTTTTATTTGCTCTGAACAAAAATTACCATGCAAGTTAATAGTTTTTTTTTAATGCTATGATTAGTAAGCTGTTTTGAATTCTTCTAGAAAGAAAAATGTAAAAAAACTTGCCTCGGCTAGAAAACATTTCAGCATCTAAATGTATTTAACTTGCTAATTTACCTGTTAAATCCATTAGAGTTCAAACTGAGTTTAAGCTACATCTGTTTTAAGTTAAACCAGTATACATGGTTGGCAGCATGGATTATAATAATATTTTTACTTCTGGGTGATAAAAATCCCATCAACTTAATCCAAGGTTTTTATATCTACTGTTAAAAAGTTGCTTAAATTTTCAATATGCTAAGCATACTGTGACTTTATTTACTTTATGAAAGCTACTACTTAAAAAAACACAAAACATTGGAGCTCATTCTTAAGCATTTAAGCATGGACTCTTGGAAAGAACCTATATTAGTCTCTGAGTCTTATGTGAATGTGTGCTGGTTTCAGCTTAAACCACAACAGATTACACTGGAGAAAGCCTAACCTCTTCAAAGACTTTTGCTTTGTTCACACAGTGCAGCTGCAATTGTCACATAGGCAGGTTGCTTAACTTTGTATCCAAGGCTTCCCAAAGTAACCCTTCTTTAATATACTTTTAAACACCTATGTATTTTGCAATGAAAAAAACCCAGCATCTGTAGCAAATATCCTTATTATTCACGATTCCTTGCAGAAGTAAATTTGTGAACTCAAACTGGCTCAAAGTCTGTTAAATCTTTGCAAATACACTCAGTTAGAATTTAGTTTTAATTTGAAAATGAATTACTGAATTTCAAAATAGATTACTATAATCCAAATAAGGATCACTTGATTTAGCCTGTCATTGAGTAAAGAAACCAACTGTCTGACACTGCATAGTCAGGTGGCAAAACAATGAGCAAAAAGCAGACTGTTAATTTTGTCCTTCTGCCAGTGGTTTCAGTGTGAGACCTGAACTTTGTTGAAATCAATGGCAAAACTGCAAATAGCTAAAATTTAGCCAGGTTTTCACCCTGGATGCGCTTTCCTAGTGTAAATCAACATTTTAGCCGTGGTTTCTTTTATTCTCTTACCGTCTGTGTACCTCTTCAAGTTGGGCCGCAGGCAATACAAAACCTTCTTCATCTAATTTAATCTCAATATCTTGTGTAGGTGAAAAAAAAGAAGTGACATTGAACGTCATTTCTTATAACAAACTTTCTACTGTAATTCTCATCTTCTCACAGTTGTTTTATTAAACAATTATAATACTACAACAATTTTTCTTTTTTTTTTTTTTTGAATCACAGAGGCTGGCAAAAGTTGTATAGACTTAACACAAACGAGTGATAATTAGAAACAGTTCAGCTTTTCATGATGCTAACAAAATAGTATTCCAAGTCCACTCAAGACTCCAACACAGGTAAATGGTGTTTTGCTGTGCTAGCTAGGGTCTCTGGAATTTATTTTGAGGGCTGTGGGGAGAGACACACTTTCTCCCTCTACTAGCTTCAACATCCTCATGAAAGCTGACACACAGAGTAACTCTGGAATCATCCCCCTTTTTTATTTTTTAAAAATCCCCCTGACATCCATGGTGTCCCTTCCCTCAACATCTTATTATCATCCACCCCTCCTGGGCACGTGATTTTCCTCATCACTTCCTTCTATTTCCTGCTGCACACAACACTCTGTTTTGCTCACTCCTGCCTTACAGCCACAAACCGTACCGACTGTGCTGTCAGCAGCTCTTGCTGAGAGGAGAGGAGCCCAGCTGAGCAGGGCTCACAGCTGGCCACCTTCCTTTCTCTACTCACCACTAAAGCAGGGAGATCAGGCAAGTGGCTTTGCCTCATTTTGCTGTACATGATACAAATTGTTTAACAGATAAGGAGCTGATAATAAAAACACAGAATACAAGCAGCTGTTTTCAAGGCAGACTGGCTGCCTAAATATCAATCTGCAGTGCTTTTCTCTCCTTTCCTTTCTCTGGCTCTAAGAATTATTTATTTAAAGTTCCCAAATTTCAGATCTTTTACAGAAATTGGTATCCCAGTTTCTTTTTCTGTATTTGCAGAATTTAGACTGCCCACAAAGGAAACGATACCTTTGGCACCATACACACACATTTCTGTTAATCTAAAGAAATTATACTTACCAACTACATAGAAATACGGTGTTGATACCTCTGATGCAAAATATATTCTTTTTTTCAGTAAATAAAGTAATCCTGTCTTCACCCTTTTAATGAGATGAACATCAGGAGAACTCTGAGGCGTGGGAAAGGCCTTTACTTGGTACTTAGAAAGGAGTTTTGGACCCTAGATAGCGACAGAAAATCAAATCAAAAAAGGGAGATAACATTTTTGTAATTACTTCATATTAACATAGTAAAATGTATTCTGTGCATTTCAAAGCCAAGTCTATTGAGTCTAACTGTAGGTCTATAGAGACCTACAGTCTAAGGTATGATCTGCTGAAAACTTAAAATCACCCAAACAACCACAAGAACATCCTCAGGAAGCTTCAATGCTTTCATGTTCATGAGAAATGCACAGCTGTTTCCATTCATACAAATATATCAAGTAATTCAAGAAGGTAGAAATGCTCCATATTTTCATCAAGGAAAATTGGTTTGTCCAGTTCCAATGCTTTTTATGAGAAATACACAAAACTAAGTATAAGTAGGGCCCTAATGCCCTTATCACCTTTTGTTAACATCACTTCAGGTTTCACAAGTACTATACCTCATAAAATGGGCACTCCAGGGTGACAGTCAGAAAAAGCTGGGTTAGCTGGGACATAACAACTCGGTTAAGACCAGGTGGCTGAGCTGAAACAACAACATTCAGGTTTTCAGGTGTACTTTCCATAAAGTATCTTTACAAAAACCATAATGTAGAAGTTAGGAAAAGCTATTCAGTATGATGTGCAGAAAAGCTATTTAGTCATTAAAATTCTCAGTACTTGTTTCAATTAACAGAAAGATCAGTATGAAATTACACAGGTAGAAAAATGAGAAAATTATTTACAGAAATATCAATACAAAAATACAAAATAGCAAGATCTTAGTTAAAACTGTCATATTCTTTCACAAAAACATGAGGATCCAAAACATGCATGGCATTCTACATAGAAGAATAAGTTTGAGCTGAAGTCTTAGATAAACATCTCCTTCTTATAATCACTTTTCCCCAAGTTATAATCCCAGGATCTCATAGTTTCTTTTTTTTTTTTTTTTAATCTGCAAGTTGTGGATAATACCAAATAATTTCTGGAGATTTGTCTGCTTTGTAAAAATCAATTCCTTCAGGTATTTCATGTTGTTGAAAAATTAAGTGACCAAAACTTCTAATCACTTTGAAAACTTTGGCTTAATTTTATTAGTAGAGCAATCTTAGCTGAAATCTTATTAAGTCAGTCATCTTTCTGGCATGGCTTACACCTCTCTACAATGACCCTAAAAATGCATTAGTACTAAATAGAGAATACCTCAAAATTATGTGTTATTCATAATAGTTTTGTGTCCAAAAGCATTGAAATATGCAATAATTAGAGCCAAGAACAGGCTACCACATGGGCGATGTTCTAGCATCATGTATAAGACAAGGACAAATGTGGGGAACACCAGGTCACTGTTTTTTAGAAAATCAGAAGAATTAGCTGAAATAATTATTTTAAAGGAATTTAAGTCTGTGTTTTAAAACTGTACAGTGCAATTTTCAAACCCAACTAAATGACATACATGAAAGACAATGGCAACTGTGACAAGGAAGCTTCAGCCTTTGGTCTCCTGATCACTATTTTCCAGTCACTGCTGATTTGACAAATTAAATTGATAAAAAATAGGTGCTTGACAAGAGACAAACTCCATAATAGAAAGAAATGTGGAACATCTCAAGAGAAATTCTGCTCCTTACCTTGAAGCTTTTGCAGAAAATAGGGACTAAATATTTTTGGCAGGAAATTTATCGGATAACGTTGAATAAGGACACACGAGTGTAGCAGGTTCAGCAAGGTGTGGGGCTGAAAGTGCCTCAGGCGGGTATGCAGCACAGTTTCAAGCTTCCTAAACAAGGCAGAAGCACTTGGAGGCAGGTAGTTAAGAGTCCCAAATGGGATAATATATGCAGCAATCTGGTCAGTGGTAAGTCTGTCAGCACTGGAAATGAAATCTTCTGCCACTGCATCAAAGATGGGCTTTGAAAGGATCATCTTTCTGCAGCAATACTGCATGACCTTGCTGACCGTTTGAGGATGCATAGTGCGGATGGACTTGGGGACATGTTTTTCCAGTGCCTCTGTAAAAATTTGCATTTTTTGCCCAAAGTATAGGAAAGCTTCCAGTACATTTACCAGTTCATGATCTGTGAAATAGGGAACATGCTTCACTGAATGTTTACACAGTGCAGTGACTAAGAGAACTGCCCGAGTCTGACAAAGAACCACCAGTGAATTCAGTATTACACTCACAGAGTTTGGGTTTAGCTGGGAAACTGTGCATAAAGTGACACTGTTCAGTCTGTTTAGCAAGTTTTGGCATTGTTTCCCTTCCCTCACAGTCACTTGCAGTATCCTATAAACTATCACTATTTCCCTGGGACTCCAATTCTTAATGTCTCTTTCTTGTATGTGGTTCACAATTTGTTCCAGTGTCGCACAACTTGGGGCTTCTAACTCAAGCAAACTCTCTCCGAGAGCGCACAGATTTTCAGCAGTCAGCTGTCCCCTGCCAAGCCGCTCCTCGCTCTCCGAAAGCAGGCTTGTCATCAGCGTGCTCTGCGGATCTATACGGAGTTTTATCAAAGCCTGCAAGGCATTCAGCAGCCCCGTGTTAGACAGTTTTGAGGATTCAAATTCAAACTGGAAGCATAAAGCCCTGAAAACTTCATTCTCTAACAGTCCAGGGTTTTTAAGACCATTGTCATCCACCTCAACTTCAGAAATCTTCTGCAGGGCTCCTGAGGCCATTGTATCAGACATGACCTCTAGAGAGCTAAGAAAATAAAAAATCTCTTTTGATGTACAAAGGTTGTTCAACTTCTTGAAAAATAATTGTTCATCCATCCACACATTATTTGATTTAGTACAGTTCATCATATCTCCACAAAGATGCACAGCTTCATTAACAGAAAGTGGCTGCGCCTGCAGTTGTACATGTTTTTTCCTACAAAACGTATACTGAGATTTATCTTTGACACACAGCATCCTCATGGCCATGGAGCTACAGTTTTGGGGTTTTCGCTGCCCACTGATGAAGTTCAACCTTTTGCTTAGGGTCATCAAAGCAGACCTGCTTGCTGGTGTGCTGGATGAATACAACTGGAAGCTTTTCCGGCTGATCAAAGCCATATTGAATCAAGTGAATTCTGAAATGATACCTAGGGGAAGAAAAATAGATATGTAGTCTGGAAACACCACCAGGGTCACTAAAATGCAGAAAAAAACACAATCCCAATCCTTCTGGTGGCTGGAAAGATGGGTACGCTCCATCTCCCGCGACCACGAGCACAGAGAGCAGAAATGCCAATGCCAGGAGCGGCGACCCCTGTGTGACAGGGTGCCCCGTGTTCCCGCAAGGACACTGGTAGACGAACAGGAGCCTTCGCCTGCCACCCCCGCGGCATCGGCGCGGCCACTCCATCCCCCTCCGCCCCAGCACCTACTGCCGCTCCGCCCCGGGAGCACCCGGCCGTGCCGGGGCAGCCGCGGCGGCCTCACCTCGGCAGCCATCACGGGCAGCGCGGCGCCTGCCGGGACTTTCCGGCGCCTCCGCCCGCTCCGCCCCGCCCCGCCCCGCCCCGGCCCTGCCTCCTCCCCGCGCTGCCGCCGCCTCCGGCCCGGCGCGGCGCTGTCACTGGCGCTTGGCTTCGGAAGTGGGATTCGTGTCCGTGTGCACCGCGTCCTCCAGCGCAAGTACTCCCGTTCCCCGCTCGGGCGGCACCGGGGCCGGGCGGAGCAGGGAGGCGGGCACGGAGGGTTTGTGTTTGGCTTTTATGTTTGTCTCGGCCCTAGAATGCCTCTGAGCCAGCTGTTGAAAAAGAGGCTTGGGGATGGCTTCGTGGCTCAAGGCAGGGTCCCACAACGAGGGTTAAAGCCGAAGAGGAGTGTGTGAAGCTCTTCTGGTTGCTGACAGAAAGAAAGTTTCAGAAGGGTGAAACTCCTCCATATGTGCAGTTCAGGTTGAATGACGATTTGAGGAGTTTATCCGTCTACTGATGACGTAATTAACAGTGTGTGCACTGAAGTTTCTTGCTTTTTTTGTCCGGTCCGTGCCGCGCAGTTCATGTTTGGCAGAGCAGGTCCGTGACGCGCGCGGTCCGGCCTTGCCGTGCGCCTGCGGCGCTGCTGGGGCGGCACGCGTGCTTCAGCGGCATTCCTGCGTGGATTGTCCCACGCTTCGTGGCCTTAGGGAGCTGCTGGACTCCCTAAGGCTAATCTTCCGTGGACTGTTAGCTCTCTGGCTTTTCCAAGTATTGGATAAGGAGAGCTGTAGTTTGGAATTTCATCCTTAGTTTCCTGTTAAGCCCTGGTGTGATCCAGCGAATCACGGGTGGTGTTTCCAGCTTAAACATTGTATTTTGATGTGTCTACCAGCACAACAGCGTGTTAAAGGCTGCTGGTGTGGTAGTACTATTAAAGTTACAGGGATTCTTCAGAAAGCTTGACAGCTCAGGAATTACCTTTTTTCCCCCTATTTATTCCAGTTGAACTTGTATCACGTACGTGGAAGCGGCGTAGCCTCTTTGAAGAGTGTATAGAGCAGCAAAGCAAGAGCAGAGTGGGCAGCATGCTCGTCTGAGAGCAAGTGTGTTCCTGGTTTGTGGCTGTTCATCTGCAGGTAGGCATGACTGATTTTTCTCTCTTTGAGCAAGCATCGCTTGGTGGTCTGTGCACAAAGATCTTATACAGGTTGATGACAGAGAGAAGATGTGTTCACAGGGTGAAACTCTTCAACTTGTGCAGTTTAGATCAAATAATGATCAAAGGAATTCATTCATCTATTGTTGACATAATTAACTTTTAGGGATTTAAATGAACTAGTCAGTTAATTGAATTATGTATTTAAGATGAATAGCAACAGTGCAACACATATAATACTAAGCTCCTGGAAAATGTTAATAAATGTCACAAATATTTAAACACCTTTCTGTATCTAATTCCAAGGAATTGTCTAATTATGTTCTCTCCCGTTGCCACAAGGATGCATTCACACTGTTGCATACACATGCAGTACCCTGTCACAGGAGGTCTGCATGTGCATCTGCAGCATCATCGGCTCTTCTGGCTCTGTGGGTTCTCTTGTTTCCAATGCTGGCTGTGAGGGGTGCAGTTGCTCCAGATTTTTGTCTCTATGCAATCTACTGGTCCATTCACCAGTGAAAAAACCTCTCTCCAAGTTCACATCTATGCACTGAAAATGTGTGTGGCTACTTTTTGCACCCTTTATTGTTGCTATACTAGCTGGAGTAGAAAGCTCATAATGTCTTACAGGAATCCTGGCTGCTCTGCCTGACTTAGGCAGAGGTCACAGCACTGTTAGGGCAACATCTGATCACGTTAGACCACATCTTGGCTGCTATTCCTTTTGTTTCCCTCCCCATTTCCCCTGGTTTTGCAAATTTTTGTGCTTCTCAAATATTAACAGTTTCCCAAGCTAACTCTTGTTCTAACAGACTTGCTGGTAATGCCTGGGCTATAATGTTGGCAGCTTACTCCTCAGCATTTCTTGTATAGAAGGTTTCTGTGCTATGGTGTGGTCTTTGTGGGAAACTGATGGTCTTTCTCCCTTTCTGAGGTAAGAGGAAGAGTGTAGTAATGAAGCGCTGCTTTGTCTATTTTGGTTTTATTCATTTGTGGTCGGGTGATGCCACCTGCTGACAAGAGAGTTAGATGAAAACACAGGACATTACCCGGATGAATCTGTATTGCTACAGGGATTTGAGGGTATTTAAGCAGTATTTATGCTATTTTATATGAAACATCATAATTAGCACATTTTTTTCTTTTGGAAAAGGAAGGTGAAGAACCATTTTGAGCATTGTTTTGTTGTATGCACCTTCTGTGCACACACACATAAAACCAGTTACATAAATAAATTTCTTTAAAGGCGACTGTTAAGGTAATTACTAAAAACTTTAGATAATATATGTAATTAATTTAAAGTGAAAACTAAAAAAACATAGTAGAAGAAAACATAGTAGAAGAACATACAATGAAAACCTCAAAATTTTCTAGTAATTATATTTTTCGTGAAGTTCATGTATGATACAGGCATTCTTAAGAATGTACCACTTAGTTTTGCTTCTTTTTATATATAATTATGCTTTAAAAAATTCCTATAGGAAAAACCTTCTGCAGTACTGTATGGAGAAATATCCTGCCATATCTATAGAGTACAATATTCTTATACAATTGAACTATGTTTGTTTTCCCTTGGGAGAAAGAGAAAAAAGAGATACCTCAAATTACGTAGCCCCAGGTTTCCATAACTCAGTGTGTCTGGCTAGGACACTGAATGCTTTCTGTAGTTGAAATTGTGTGGAACCAATAGGTGAAGTGCAGCAGACTGGGCTCAGGAGTGGGAGAGCTACCTCAGATTGGGAATTGAAAATTTCTCAGTACTAATTCTAGGCATTTGAGTCCTACTGCACCTCCTTAGCAATGACAAAATATTGACAAAAAATTAATTTGTAATATCCACTCTACAGACATAATGCTTCTCTCTCTTATTTACTGCTCCCTGAAGTTAAATCTGTGGTGTTCTCTCTGTCAAAATAATGGAATAAAACTTATTGCATTTAAATTTTCATGGGACAGGTAAATGTATAAGGATATGCATCTCATTCATCATACTGCATGCAAAGGACTTGGTGACACCATGGCAGATTTCTCTAAGATTGTTTCTTACTTTTAGGAGAATAAAACCCCAAAGAGTCAATTCTGTGGTTCACAGAATCACAGAACAGTCTGCATTGCATTGGCAGAATGCATGACCCAGAAGTATCATCAAGTTCAAAGTGAATGACCAATATGGGGATCAAAACCAACACCTTGGTGTTACTAGCATCGTGTTCTGAGCAACTGAGCTAACCTCAGGGTCAGTTTGCACCTGTGTAAGGAGTTCCCTTTTGAAATACAAGATTGAAGTCAGTGTTTGTGCTCCAAAATACGTAGTGGACAATAAAGTCTAAAGTCATTGCAGCAAAAAATACTGATTTCAGAAAAGAAGAAACTGAGAATTTTAATTTTTTTTCATCAAGCTTTGTAGTTTGACTTCATCAGGTCTATGTTTTGTTTTGTTTCAAAGACAGCTCGGAAAGGTGAATAAAGCAGTCACTAAATTGAAATGGAAAATATATAATAATATAGTATATATTTAATTTTAAAAGGTTTAATGTTACATTGTTTACAAATGTAACATAAATTCTTGATATCAGAGATATTGTTGCATTACTGGAGCATCAAGGCAGTACAGCACATAGGACCAACACCACATGTCCTTTGCAACCTGATCTACAAAGCTTGTTTGTGAGAAATGGCTTCACTTCAGAGCACATGCCTCATTTCAAAGTTAAACACCAATGCTGCTATCTTTATCTCTTTTTAATCTCATAAGCAAAGTAAAATCTTGCTTTTCTGCTTACAAGAAATTCACTTTTTTAATTCTTTTTTCCCCTGCAGTTTCTCTAAAAAAATAGAATGTGCTGTGAGTCAAAAAGGAGGTTTTTGCTCCTCTATGCAACACAAAAGGGGCAGGCAAAAGCCATAGCTGAGGAAATATGGCAGCAAGCAGGTGCCCATGGACTTGAAGCTGATATGCATTGTATAAGTGAAATGGATAAGGTGAGATACTCCATGCTGTTTTGAAAAATATGTATTGAAGAACTGAATTCTTCTTCACATGCTAGAGTGGTTGCTCTTGATATCGTGAAGGCTAGCAGATGCACCCACCTAAAAACCCCCATCTAGTGTCAAAGTCTTGTTCTTTGTGAATCAGTAATTTCAACCAGGACTCACAGTTGTTTAATAGTCTTCTGCCAAAGATACATCTTGTGATTTTTCTTACTAGAACTGTAAATTAGTATGTCTTTATCTCTCTTTTAACAATGATTCAGTGGCTTCTTGAGAACTTTTTATGTATGCAGTTGTGAATGAATTCTGTATTTACAGGTCAGGTCTGTTATTAGAAATTATGCTTTTTTCCCTTGTTTTTTCTGTGTGTTTTTTTTTTTTTTGGTTGGTTTTTGTGGGGTTTTTGTTGTGGTTTTTGTTTGGTTGGCTTTTTGCTTTTGTTGCATTGATGTTCTGTGTTGTGTTAACTGTGGGCTCCAGCATGGCCTAGAGCTTTTGTGGGTCTTCTTGTGTTGCTTAGCGTGTGCACTCATTTCAGTTCCCACAGGACTCACTTCAAGTTATGTTCTAGAACAAAATAAAATGCTTGGCTGGGACAAGGAAGTGGCTTTTTATTACTTGCTGTTATCCAAGAGTAAGAATGTGAAAACTTAGTTCTGTAACTGAAAGCATTATGGACTGTAATTTCCTTCACAAAGTACTCTCAACTGTATGCCCTCAAACAAAAACATATAAAAAACAAACAATCAAAACTTGATAGCCTGGTATTTTGTATGAGATGAAGAGAAAATAACATCTAAAAGAGTTTTTTCATGCACTTGAAAATGTGAGACATTTTGAATTAATGTGCACTAAGTGTGTAGCTGAGTGTTCGAAAGAGACTTTTATGCAGTCAGCAGGGAATGTGAAGA